TTCCAATATTGTCCTCTTCGTTGATATTCGACAGTTTCACTAAGATTACTTACTGGATAGAGTTTGTCCCGTGAATTGAATGGATTTCTGTAATTTCGAGGGACAAATTAATAAAATTAGCCGCCCTACGTCAACGGGAGAACGCTGATTGTTAACGACATTTCGACCGGTTAGTTGAAATTAAATCCAGCGCGCAATTAAAACAAGGGAATGCGCGATTAGAAGTAGTATGGCGCGAGAGGGAACGATTTATTATATGGTTAATGAGTTTCACGCAAATAGCTGCAATAATGCTGTAACGAGTTCGATTTTACGACCGCAACACCTGGAAACAGTCCGAGCATCGAACAGAAACGCATCGAACGACGATATTTAAATCGATATTCCCCAACGCGTGCGTTCCGATGGATGAAATAAACTAGATGATTAAATATTTTTGATGGCAAACAGATGCATGAATATGCATAATCGGGGACCCGTTAATTCCATTCGAGAATGAGCTTTATTGCATTCATTCGCTTTAACGTCCTCTCTGATAACATTCACGACGCGAAGTTAGAAAACGCGCGAATCGAGCACTCTGGTTGCAACTACGGTCGTTTCGGGGAGTCATTAAAACATTACGTTCAATTCAATATGTTTTCAATGCAATTATTTTCACGTTAGAGACTCGTCTGCGTGCTCGTTGGCTTGGCACGCAGAAAGCTCTCGATTTAGGCAGTTAATTCGTTTTACAGCGTTCTAATGCATTTGATTATTTCATCCGAATGGTACGGAGTATGACTAAATTATGTTAGTACTCGTGTGGAGAAGGAATATTAAGTGCTAACATTATTTGGACGTATGTGGTAAGCGATAAATGAAAACTTTGTAGGATTATGCTTTTACTCGTTCAACGCATGAAGTCTGACTAATGACTGACCAGTAGTACTGTGAAGTCATTCCACCGTCGCTCTTTCTTTCAATATCACGTATCAGATATCACGTTTCTTTCTTTCTTTTTTTTGTTCAATATCAAACAGATACATACTTTCCCATCGGGAAAAAATTGAAAACAGAGGTCATTCGTACAAAATATGTGGAAGCGAATAAGTGAAGCATTTCGAGAACTGTAATTACTTTCCAGCAACTTTCCCTTTGTATTTTGATTAACTGAAACAATAATTTTCATTTTCACAGCAGTTTACAGCGCGGTAACAATTCCTGTCGCATGATTTATAACGTAACCGACACGACAGTTTTGATAGTCCCGTTTCGATGGGACGCGAGCCGGGCGCGTTCGTTAATTTATCATACCGCGAGTTGGGTGTTAACGAAGCGGTGAATGGAATAACAGTAACCGATGTGAATTACAATGATTGTAATTAATAAATCATCGAGTGGGTATTAGTGGTTCGAATGACGGGCTATCTAATGCAGGGGTTTGGTCGCGGGGAAAATCTATCTCTCGCGCGGTTACAACGTACCTCTCGTTAACATAATTCCAGTAACAAGATACCTTCGCTGTATTCGTTCTATATATTATGCTCGGCGTTCGCAGTAACAACGTTAATATTTTCCTATTGTTGGCCATGGTATTATCGACACTCGGAACGTACGGCTTACACTTGTGTTTCGTATTTTTAACAGAACTGCAATTCGCAGAGATCTGTCTCGTTTTGAACAACAAACAGCTGGGTGATTATAAAAAAAGATGGAAATAACATAAAAATAGTATGAATTCACTAAAAAGTTGTAATTCTCGAAAATCTCAAACTTTTCAAATCCAGGCTGCTATCCATTTTATGTCTCTCGTTCTCTGGGACATATAAACGTTACGGTATAGTTTATCGGTCGATGTCAGAAAAAAAATTCAACTCAATGGGATTCAGATTGTCGGTTCATCGAGGAAGCAGCACGAGTTCGATGAGGATGCGTCGAAAGCTGCCGAGGAAATTTGCAACAGAAGGTTTCTATTACGTCGGAAATGTCGATGCGTTCGTGCGAGCACTGGGAACACGATGCTTCCTCGTTTCCGTGTTCAACAGGGTCTGATTGTACTTACGTACACATGTACGCACGCGTGTTCGTTCACATGCGCTGAAACTGGAAGAATACCGACGAAACGAACGCGCTTGCACGCCGAATAAAAGGAACACGTCAAGGAAAGCACGGTCGAGTATTTCCCTGTGGATTATTCGGGCGCGGCAATTCGCGCGAGTAAAAATTAAATTAAGGCACGCGGCGTATCCTGGCAGCAAACGCAAGTTCTCCCTTTTTCTGACCCAGTGTCGATCGTTTAAGGAAACGTTGCCTTCCGTTGCGAGAAAATGTCGCTCGACGAGGAATACGAAGTCGAGACGCGAGATTACATACCTGATATTTCACGCTTCGATAAATTTCGCGCCATCGACTATCTGTTGCTCCGAGTATTTCGACGGTTACAAATTTCATTAAGTGGGTGCTTGTAAAGTGCTCTAGGTTTTCTCTCTCTCAGCTTTTTCCTGTTTCATTTCTTTGCTCGGACTCGGTTTTATTAAATTGGTGAAATTATTGATATCGATTCGATGCCAAGGAAAAACAGTTCGCAAACCATTCGATAATTTCTTTAAAGGAGTGATTCCGTCTCCCAGGACGTTCCTTTTTATTCTCTTTCCAACACACAAAGGGAGTGGAAAGACGCGTCTTTGGTTTCCCTTTTTCTTTACATTTTCGCGAACATATACCCGCGAGTTGCATTAAGAACGATACCTATATCGTCGGGCCTTCCGCGGGTTTCCGTTCCATGCATATTCATCCAGGGACAAACTGGATTTTCTTCGCGTCGCGGAAGTTCCCGGCGGCAAAACGGGACAAAACTTTTTTCCCCTGATGAAAGAACGCTCATCGCCTTTATTACGCTCTGATGCAAGACCCATGTACGCGATTTCTCTCCCCGCTGGGTTCGAAACTTCCGCACCTGGTCTCGCGACCTGCCCTCCGCATCGACGTCGTCGTACCGACGACCATTTTCCCCGGATTTTCTCCTCTTTCCATCCGTACCGATAATGAAGATTTCCTGCGACGTCTCTGGAGATGCTGCGGTTTCCTGCAGGAACCACGATATCACCGGCGAATACCCGCGCCGTAGCATCGACGACAATGGGAAAAGAAAACGGGACAAAAAGGAGCGACGAGGGAAGAAATGGAGGTCCCCAGACCGTTTCGTTTATCGATTTCACTTAATCCCGCGTCTCCTTGCCGTTTGTCGATCTCGATATATTACAGATTGTTTCGCCGATTCCCCCGAGGAGAACTGGTGTGTCCAGCAGACGGAGAAATAACCGAGCCTTCTATTCCATAAAATTTGATAAAGTAAAATGTCGCCGTGCGGGACTCCGAGGAGTACGTTGTCACCGCGGATAGAAGGCCCGTCGCGGTGTTAAAAGGTTTAGATATGAAAGTAGATGATACAAATTTAATTTTCTCGAGCTGTCGTAGTAATCCCTTAAATAAACGTCGCAGCTCTGTGACACGCAATGCGGAAGGCCGCGATAAATTGCTCCGGAAGGCGAGGACAACGCACAGAGGATCGTTATCCTGTCGTTAATTTAGTTAGGGATCTGGTTAGCGTTGTGCATGTAGTTTGAAACTTTGTTAAATTGGATATTGCCTGTCACCCCATAACAGATTGCGGATGTCACGCGCGCGGACACCTTCGATTTCTGTGTTCCTTTGTAGCGGACAGCGGCTACTTCCAGTGAAATCCTTTAGGTCAACGAAGAGCTTCATTTTCCCTTGCTTCATCGTAAACGGAGCTGCACTAGAGATTTCTCGGATTCGTCCATTGAAGAATTCTTATCGATTCAAAATAAAGTTGTCTCCTTGCCAACGATAAATCCAATAACAAAACATGCTTCCATCTTTAATTTTCGTTCATCAGGATCGTCTTGAAAATTGAACACCTCGAGAAACAACATTTTATTCATATTTTATTTATCGCTATATGAGCGCGATGTGACGTCGCGGGGCGTTTTCACGAGAAAACGGTGCAAGGTAACACCGTGGCGTGGCTGAGATGAACAGAATCGAGTTGGTCGATTCGTCGGTTATTCCATTAACTTTGGTCAGCGAACGGTAACGAAGCGAAGCTCGGTTCAGGGCGTGATGTAAATTGGCGACGAAATGAAAAAGGAACAGGATCGATGGGTGGGTACCCGGTAGCCGGCGCGCGTATGGAATTTCCGCTGATGTCCTTTGAGCCTGCAGTGGCGGAATGAGAAGCAAAAAGTGCCGGAAACAGGTGTACACCGTGTAGTTCCTGTTTTTCCTCCTCTCGTCTCCGCTCCGTTCCTCTTCATTGGTCTGTGTTTGGTCGATTTTTTTCTTTCTTTTTCATTTCGCGGCGCAGCAGCACGTTTGACGGCATCGACGGGTACGCGCTTCATCGTTAAAAAACGTAGCATATCGCGGTTATAACAGCATTGATACGCCGTTTCGTGGCGAACGATACGTTCAACTTTGAGCCGCGTCGGATGAAACGATAAACATCCGTCGCGTCTTTGACGGAGATCTTCGTTATACGTCCCGTTCGCTGACGTTTCATTTACCAAGGGATTTATGCTCGATCGACGATTACCTGGATAGTTGCTCTAAGAAGATTCCGTGCATTCTTGCAGTATTTCTGATAAAAGTGCCCCTATATCTTACAATGTTGACACAGAAATCGATAGCACAGATTGGTACCGTAAATACCAAGGTACCTTCGAGCTGGAGAATTAAACAGTTCCGAAACTTTGCACGCTGAAATTGCTTGGTACAGAGGTCGTTGAAGCCTCCTCACGATCAAACCTGAAAACAATGACTGTTAGAATCGTTTAGACAGCGTGGTACGTACACGTTTAATATATAAAAAAAGACAGACTTTCTCAAGCATAGTAATGTTACTACCTTAAAGTTGTAACACCTCTACGAGATCGACCTAGACAAAAGCTACATAAATTCTAATTAAATACTAGAATCAACGATGACGCATTAACCGATTCATTCGTCGCGAAGCATTTGTTCGATCTCAATTTCTCGAGAAACAGAACTGAAAAATATTTGCCAGACACTCGACGGAACGAGATTAACCAGAGATCTAATAACCTAATTGCTCTCGAATGAAATGACAGAAGAGCTATGCTATATATGTCCTATTTTCCTCAGTGACAGGTAGCAAAATGATTCAAATTCGAACTGGTTTTCCATGCGCGTGAAAACATTGCGAACTGCTTGTCCGCGCACGTAATAAAAATAGAAGAGGCATAAGAGATTGAGATACCGTTCGTTCGCATTCATGGCCGCGAATACGTTCGCGTTGATTCGCCATTGATTCACGGAAGACTGCACCTGTGACCAAGATGTACCAGGCACGCGTGCACGGCGCATACATAAAATATGTTGTCTGCACCAGATAAGACACCCACCCCACCACGTGCATCGCGAGCGATAAAGTCCGACGTAAAACGACGATCCGTCAATAGACCGTTTTATCGCTGTCGTGAGCCTTCGCGGAAAGATAATAACGCGTGACAGGTAGAGAAATTTTCTGGAGTCGTTTTACGCTCGTCGCGATCGCTGTACGAAAATGTTTCAGCAAACTACGCTTTTTCTCGCGCTTTCCTGGGCTGCGCTCTGCCTAGCGACAAAATTTCAGGTAAGTTCACCATTTCAACCTACGCCTGATTTATGTACATTCAGATAAGATTGCAATAGATAGAGATTAGGTTATCAACAGAATTTTTGTAGTGCTTGAGAGCCTTCAGGATCAAAACTGAAACAAAGCTTGTAATTATAAAGTAATAATGTACAATTTTGTATAATCACGAGCCATTTTCGAGAACGTTGTTTGGGAGATTCTTCGAATTTGCACATCTCATTTTTTTACCTTCCAACTAAATTCAAGATCTCCAATATTTCGACGTCTCGTCGGGCTGTAGCCGGGCTGCCTAAATTTTCAGCAACCGAGGAAACTCGTTGGCTCCTTCAGGCGGTGAACGTCACCGCGGAACTTTAAGCCGGAAGTTCCCTTGTTTTCGCCGAATGCATAACTATCGACTCGTGCGCGCGTGGCGTCGTAAAGTTTCGCGCGCCGAAAGTCCGCCGGATTGTCGTGCGATTAAACTGTTTATGCGGCCGATATTGCGTTTTCAGCTCGAGCGATTCTAACGAGCCAAGTTAAACAATAAGCCGGCCCACGACGGAAGAACCAGCCTGTCCGCGAAACTTTTAATGAGAACCAGAGGACAAGTCGGCCGTCGAGCTCAGGAAATCGTTGCGCTCGATCCCACGCGAGGTCGCCAAAGCTACAAGAAATGAGTGGTCATGAGAAAACAGAGCCAAAGATTGACATTAAAAGATGAGATACGGTTAGATGGTACATGATTTAGAAATCTTAGCTTCTCCGACGTTTTTAAAACATCGTCGGAGGCTCTCGAAACCTTTTTCTGTACACGAAAGTTGTTCTCATTTATTCCATCTCAAGCGTAAAGTGAATTTTTGAATTTCAGTTAGAAGAGAACATTGTGCGATAGCAACGAGAACCGTACCTACCTCATCCTTTTTTTCACGATACAAGGGTAAAGCGCGTTCGAAACGAAAACAGTCTCTCGAGGGATTCGTTCTTCAGAAGTCCCACGGCCGCTGGTGGAAATGGTCCAAGTTTTCTTCGGTTTAATTAATTCGTTGTCCGATTGTTCGCAGGCGAGAATGGGCTAACCGCGGGAATTTTGTTTGTCTCGTTAGTCCTCGTGTTCGGTGAAACAGAACAAAGGGGTGACTGCGCGGCCCAGTGTCAGAAACGAGGGTGAAGGGGAGGATAGAGACGGCGCTCAAGCGAACACGCGTCGAAAACTGGATTAGAAAGTTTCGTTGTGTTATCGCTACTTAAGGGATTAACGCCTTCTTGCGCAACACGCGCGTCGGGAATCCTAATCAGCCCCCGCTACTCTTCGAAACTCGATAGAGGGTGTTTCGGTTCCCGATACAAAAATCCTAACCGAACACGAATGTCAGCTTCGCCTTGTATTTCATTAGTTTGCGTTGACTCGATTTGCTGAAATGAGAAGGATACCGAGGAGGAAACATTCTTGTTGAAAAGCATACGCTAATTCATGTTTCTCTTCATATTTCAGGAAGGTCACCATGAAATCACATCGAAAGCGAGCATAGGGAAGAAAACGACGTTCTCCGAATCGGAAATTCTTTTATCTGTAACAGTATGTGCGGCTGGGGTCGTGCTAATTGTTCTCATTCCAACGATCGTTTACAAGTGAGTATTTTTTAAAACAACAAAAAGATGCTTTACGCGTAATTTGTGTCTAAAGAGTCTATCGCTGCACGCGATAAGCTCGCGTTTCCGTACATTGCCTTCGGTATGTATCGGTCGTAAGTCACGCAACGGACAGTATACTTTGCGCTAATGAAAGACCACCGATTCTGGAAACGATAAGGTTAATCGTGCCGACTAATGAAATCGCTTCGACGTTATCAAGTTAATCTGCGTCGTGTATCAGCCACCGATCTAACGATCAAATTACTTTCACATCGTTCCATCACGATGGTTTCATTTTCAAAATACACAACTGAAAGATTGTCCACAAATTTCGTATTATTAATTATTAATACAACTTGTTTAAAACATGCAAACGTTAACTAGATTACCTTCTTTTCACAGTAAATGCTTCAACAAGGAGGTGGAAATCGAGAAGTACTAGATACTATACAACCGACCAGAATCACCAGGATGTCGCGTCGATCGGAACAGCTGCACGAAATAATCGTCGCCTGATCAATCATCGATCCGTTCGAACAATCCTGAAACAATACACATTCGTGACTGATCACATATCCAAGTTTTCGTGGAATCGATCCCGCGGGATTTAACGTCAAATTCAGCGTAACGAGCGGGGCGAATGCGACCCGGCCGCGATTATCAATTTCATCGGGAGTCTCGTATGCAAAACACAACGATCGACGTCGTTACACAAAAATTTCCGTCCTCGTTACGCGTTCATCGTAAACTGACGCCCCACACGTGCGTCCGTGAGAAGATACTAACCGTAAAATCGGTGAGAATAAACACAGCGGGGCTGTGATCAACTGAGATTTTACGACTCTCGAACAATGAACGCGGACATCGAGTCGACGTATCACTTTATTAGTACTTCACACGTCTATTATTATTGGTATGAATTTGAGGGATTGTTTACTTATTCGAAATAAAAGTAAAAGTTTCTTTGGTAGATCCTATCCACAGGCGCTCTGATCTACGAAGCACCTGTCACCGTGAATCGTCCCATTGTTATTATTTATCAAAATAGCCCAAGTACGATCAACTATTGCCAGTCATTAATTTCAAGCGACTGCATCGCAAATAAACATGAGATCCGGTTCCACCATCAGACAAGATCGTGTTTATTTCCCGAATTTCATAATTACTCATTGTGGCCACGTTTTGGGAATTTTGTTGCATCGAACGCCGTGCGTCGAGCCGATTATTTCAGGCAAACTGAGTACGTCGGTTTGGATAACGGCCGCACACCGAGCCGTGTCCGTTAACGCGGCTACTGAATACGTAATAATTTTCGTCCAGCGTGGAATCGAACCGGGGAAATAAAAACGTCGCCTACCAATCACGATGGCTTTCCGCGTTTGTTTACGCGCGCAGCGTCCCGTTTCGATTAAATGGAATATCCGTGCGGTCGAAGAAAATTGATCGACTGAGTTTATCATATTATTACGGGACGCTGGGAATCTCGACGCTTTCCGATTCGTTTCCCGACTGCTACGTCACTGGGACCGACGAAATTGCCGATAATATGTTTCATCGATTCGTTCACAGCTCACACTGCCGCGCATCCGATTCTATAATCCATTTAAAAATTGAATTCCTAAATTCTTGAATCATTAAATTATTGTCATCGACGAATTAAAAAATCTATAGAAAAAATTGATACAAATTTACGTATTATATTGAACGTTGGATGAGTATGTAGCTCGCGATGGACAGGTCTCAGGCAATTTACGTAACGAAAACCACCCTAACTCGCATTCGACTTTCCCCAAATTTTTCAGAAACCAACCCCATTTACGTGTCCGTGTCGCAAATCAATAGAGACGTCTCCCTGTTTGTGGGCGAGGGAAAAAAAGGATATCACGCGATCGTGGACGACGAAACGTCGGTCGTAAATTGGTGGAGCCCGTGGGTGGGGCCAGGCGTGACAATATAAGCCGTGTACATGAAACCTTTACAGAGCGAATGGTAATATAAAGTTTAATACGGCCTCGAACTTCCGTGGATTATGATCGGGGAGGCCTGTCGCTGCTCGGCGTTTCCTCGTCGCATTGCAAATTTGAAACGTTTCTTTAAGGCATGAGACTGTCCGGGTTTTATACTCCGCGAAAAGCTTACTCAGGAATTTCACAGCCACTCGTCGAGAGTTGTAGGAAGTTGTAACTCTTTCCAAGCGTTCGTATATATGCAAAATTTCTGGGTGTAATTTCACTCGACTGAAGAGAAAATTAAGCGAAAATATTACACCATTCGGCAACTAGAATCCCTGATATTAAGTCAATGCTCGATAGAACTGGCTTGTCGTGAAATCCAATCGTCTGGTACGAAATGCAGAGATGCATAATGCAGAGAAGCAATAGGTGCAGAAATAGAAATGGTACAACTAGTTATACATGTATAGAGTCGTGCAGTTCTGTTTCCGTATGGTACTGACTTGCCATGGTTGGATAACGTTGTACGGTATCGATTGCTGGTACGATACCACCGAACGATAAGCTCAATTTTACTGACAGTCGAGAGAAATAATTTCATAAATTCTATCAATTTTGAATTAGACGTTCGATGAAATTTTTTGTATACGACTCGACTAAAGTCCCAAAACGACTCGAAATGTTTCACACGATAAAAATTTTGTTCATCTCAGCTAGAGGTCGCTTCGATATCACATCCAACGTTATCGAGCCAGAATGGAATGAGACTTCAGCACTATCGCCGGTAAGAATTATTATACAAACATCATTGAAGTAAATTACTATCCCGCAGTAAATTGGGTTTTGCAACATACGAAAGCCTTGCAGAAAAATTCACTTTTGAGATGCAGAATGCTCCTGTAAATTTTGTCACGTAGAAATTTTCATTGGAAAGAAGCGTAGTTGTCTATCTTGGGCAACGTTGCTTTAAACGAAACACTCCATTAGCTTGGACCACTACGCAACATTTTCCACATTTTTATCTAAACCCTTCCCTCGGTAGTTTAAAGAGAACACTTTGTAACAGGCTCTTAAAATCGCTCGGATTCTACTAAATCGGAGAACGTGCAGCATTCTCACGAGACGATAAAATTGTTATAACCAGCAATGAATCTTGATTACACGGCATGCTGGACTGCGCGTAATTTATTAACGTTATCTACCGTTCGATGATGTTCGCGATAGCAACTCCAGGTCGATTATAGCCGGGAATTATCATCCTTTTATGAGAAGAAATTGATTCGAGAAACAAGATTACTTTGTTTCCAAGTTCTACGGGCCTGGCGAAACGCGGGAAAAATTTTCTCTCTCGAAGATTTTCAAAATTGTGCATGAGCAGAGAGATTAGAAAGTAAAGTTCTGTATTCTTCTGTCGCAAAGACATTTAATAGCGATGGGGTTCCACGTGACCCCAGAGAAGGCGATCAGGTTCACGAAATACAGCGTGGCGTTGGTGTTTTCCTGGCCACCTTCGCTTCTGGCGACCAAAGCTCAACTTGCATTCTTCAATATAATGTGGTACGTCTCATTCTTTAGCTCGCTGGTACTGCTCTTGCCACTGTTAGGATCAATTTTTGAGTACGGTAAAGAGCCCATAATTCTTGGAAAAACAGTGAGTCTTTTCTCGGCTGTCGCCCAGGTGGCGATTAAAATGGCAGTTTGCCGCGTGCAGCAGAAACGATTTCAAGTAAGTTTACAGCTTCCTTGATATTCGAGGCTTTCAGAGGCGAGGTTTTAGCTGTTGACACTTTTTGAGGCTTCCAGGTGTCCTTTGAGAAAAGGAAAGTGTTCTGATGCTTAGTTAACTTTTTCAAGGATGAAGAATTATCCAAATGACTCGCGAAACGATAGACACATCTTTTTTGCCAAGGATACCTGGAAATCTTAAACCTTATTATTCCTTTGAAAATGCCGACCCTGAAATTTTGGCAAGTGAAAATTTAGGTGCTTTCAGGCCCTGTTCTTCGACCTGGAGGACTTCTGCAAGCGCGCCACCAAGGAAGAGAGAATCGTCCTTCAACGCTACGTGGACAGATACAAATGCTTCCATGGGGTTTACATATTCTGGTGTTTCATTACCACAGCGTTCGTTATAGCTGGCCCGTTGTACACGCCGCAGACGTTTCCTACGCATGCGAAATACCCGTTCCCGGTGGAACGGCAGCCGCTGAAGAGCATTATATTTCTGCATCAGTCGCTTGTTGGCTTCCAGGCCTCCGCGGGCATGGCGATCGACGCTCAAGTTGCCCTTCTTCTGCGATACGTGTCGGCCAGGTACGAGCTTTTAACGATCCTGTTGCGGGAGGTCAAGTCGGACGGAGAGCTCAACGACTGGATAAGAAAGCACGTTGAACTTTTGAGGTAAGCGATTATAGAATGTTTAAAAAAAATCCGTATCCAAAGCGACACTCTTACATCACTCATCGAATCGCAGGTACACGAAGGAAGTATACAGATCCGTCAGGATATTAGTCTTGGCAACAGTGGCGACGACAAACGTAGCCGTGATTTTTGGCAGTTTGAACTTGGTCACGGTACGTAGTATGGATTAATGTTATGCGACAGCGTGACGCTTAGTTTTCTCAATTTTCTAAAAAACAGAGTCAACCGTTACCTTTGAAAGCTTTGTATGCTCTAGTGGTGTTCAGCGCTAGCGTGGAATTATTCATGTACGCTTGGCCAGCTAATAATCTAATTCAAATGGTGATTAATTAAAATTAAACGTTACTTAATGAATCAACTCAAGTACATATAACGAAACAAGTATGTTGTATTTACAATTCTTTATTTTTCATTTTCGGCAATCCAGAGTGCAAAAACTGCTGTGGCTGCTTACAATACAAATTGGATCGAGAAGGACGTTCGAATGCAGAGAAAGATTGTTTGTATCATTCTGAGATCCCAAATACTGGAAGCCATTCGAATCAGCGGCATTCTTCCGAAGCTTTCGTTGTCGTATTACACGACGGTAATTTTTTAATTTTCATACACAGTAAATTGTATTCATCTACAGTTCCACATACTTGAATCGTTCCTTTGTCTATTTCAGTACCTATACACGTCGTTCTCCTATTTCACCGCAGTGCGTATCATAGTTGAAAACACCAATGTCGATTGAAGCATGACCTAACAGTAATGTAATAACTGAATGCACTTCCTTACTTATGTGGAAATTACCTTAAAAAAATTAGTAGTATCAAATCTCCTTCTGCTCGCGCCATCGAACTGCATAAAGCATAATTTTAACATTCCTTAGAGTAAACGACTTGTATTAAATACATCGTAATAATAATAATCACTTTGTTCTGTCACTACACTTGCAAGTTTCACAAGGAAGCTCTTCTATTTTGGCGCATTGCACCTCGATATGTCAAATTTTCAGTTTTAGCGATAACAGCAAGCAGAAGCACATAGTCGATATCTTGAGAAGGGATTTGAAATGAAACTGTAAGTAACGTTGAGAAGAAAACGGCTCAAAAGCTATGGTTAAACCTACAACAATTGCTATATATTCCTTCGACTAATGAGATATAAACTGTGCTTACTACAAATGCAGAATAACAAAGGTACACCAAGTATTCGAAAGCTAAGTACTATTCGACGAAATAATCTTAACATAAGAAACATCAGGGAATGTGGAGAATAATTCACAAGCTACCATTACAGCGGCAAAATGTATAATATATTGATAGCGCTGGGGTAGCATCTACGCAATGGAATTGACCAATAGTTGGTACCACGTGAAAGTATGCTAACATCCCTCTGCTTTGCATACAGTATTCATTACAGTGCTCTCTTCCGTGTAAATTTTAAATTCATATTCATATTGTTTAGTTACTTTGTTCCAAAAGTGAGAAACGCTTCGAGTCTTAGTTGCTTCTTTGCTGTCTCGAGTTGATCTCGAAATCCTTATTGTTTTTAAATAATTTGCCGTGACAGTCGTGTCCCATTATGATACGAAATATAACTCCAGAGAAGGCGATAGCTTTTACTCGGTTAAGCGTGGCTCTAAATGCTTATTGGCCTCCATCGCCAACTGCCACGAGGATCCAAGTGCTTCGTTTCAAAGTCTATAGATTTATAGCGATGCTTAGCGTCGGGATGCAGCTGTTCCCGCTATCGTACTCGATCTACGTGAACATAAAAGTTGATACGTTTACTGTCACCAAGGTGACTTGCTTCACCTCTGCTGTCGTACACATCTTCGGGCAGTCAATTCTGAGCTACATCCATTACGATAGGATTCAGGTAACGTCTATCGCAACTATGTCGCTATGAACCTTTCCAAGAATTTTACTATATGTTTGAAAACGTGTGCTCCGAAAGTTAACAGACTGTAATTTATAGAGATAATTTTTGGTCTTTCGATAAATCTTTCCATTATTATTTTTATTCGTTCCAAGCACGATAGAAGCAATGAATTTAAATAAAAGAAACGATGTTTTATATATCATTTATATAAGTATCCTTGACTAAAGAAAATTCTTGAAATGGATTACAATTCAGCGAATTCATTTGTCAGATTTTGTAACAGCAACGATGTATTGCAGGCGATAATTGCACAGATGACAGACTTCTGTGCGAAAGCAAAGTCGCAGGAGAGATCTGTCCTGCAACGTTACGTGGATAAATATTCGACGTTTTACATGGTGGCTGTATTCTGGTTTTACATGACATCTGTCCTCTTCGTCTTAGGAACTCTGCTCCTAGATCAGCCCTTTCCAACAGACGCTGCATATCCATTTGACGTCGACTACGAACCATTGAGGACGATAATCTTTTTGCACCAAAGTTACGTATGTATGCAGAATTCTGCAATGACGAGCTCCAACGCCTACGTTGCTCTGTTGGTGTTATTCGCGGCAGCACGACTCGAGACTTTAATGCTGGAGCTACGCGATGTTCATGACTGCGAAGCGTTGATTCGATGCATCAAAAAGTATTACAGTGTGAAAAGGTACAGAACAAGATCAGAATAGAGAACGAGTGAACAACATTGTACAAGGTCGAAACAAAGCACACGACAACTAACAATTTACTCAAGTTTTTGTGAAGTATATTTTCAAAAAAAAACAAAAAAATATATACATGTCGAATTGAGCAACCTCCTCCTTTTCAAAGTCGGTTAAAAAGCTACACGAATCCAAAGTTCGAATTTTAATTGCTATTAACCTTCCAAGAGTAAATTTACTTTCTCTTAAAGCAGTGTTACGTTTGAAAAATATTATCGGTGGTCTCTATAGACCAGAGTACTGATATGTATGCTCTTAAATTGCAAATTACATTTGGAATACCTGTAAAGAAGGTGGTGTCTTTCCAGATACGCACAGGAAGTGGTTGATGTTACTCGATGTACAGCACTTCTTACGGTAATTCTGACCAGTATACCACTTGTGCTCTGCGGTGTGAACATTATCAGTGTAAGTATATTACGCTAGTATCAACGAGTGCTGATTGCGAATTAAGGTACGCAATATTGTTTCCGCAAACAGAAGCAACCGGTTATGATAAAAGTGCAGTTCATATTTATGGCTGGGACTGCGTTTCTGGAGGTTTTCATGTGTGTGTGGCCAGCTGATGTCATGTTGGACGTGGTGAATTGATTTCTCATTTTCTTCGTACAAGTTCTCAATTGCTGTTACTATAAATCTTTTTTACTGTTAGAGTAGTAACGCTATCCAAAAAGTGTACGAATCGACTTGGTACGCACAGATTGCGAAAATGCAGAAAATGGTCCTCCTCGCGTTATTACCTCAGAAGCCATTAACCATCAGTTTGGGGTGTATCGTTCCGGTTCTGTCGCTGAACTTTTATTGCTCGGTACGTGAAAAGTATTTCTAATGTTAATTCGTCGTACGTTGATTGATGATCTGTAATGTTTCAGTACGTTTCAAATGCATTTTCCATATTTACTGTTTTACGGCTGGTATTGAACGAGCACGCCGAAAGTTGAATATGCACAACTAATGTTATTTTATAGACTGCTAGTTGATTAGCAGTAGATTGAAGTATATCTCGATGTTAATGAAATGTATGTTAAAATACATAATTGAAATAGAATTATAGAACCAATCAACACTTTCATCCGTTCTCCAAGATTAAGGCACTGCGTATAACGGTTGAAATTACTATCGATTCAAGCTATATCAGATAATATGTTATTAGAGGGAACGGTAGGCACACACTCTTCACGTATGAGTGTCAACAACGGCGTGGCGGCGTTGCAACAATGATTGATTTGAAGAAATGATTCACACGCCACATGCTGTTCGTATAAATTATATTCACGTTAGAAAAATGAATGCAGGAGTTAGAAGATATAATTAGGATAGCAACCATATTCCAAGGCTTCAATGTAAACTAAATTATTGAAAGGTCAATGAACGTTTCACTGTATTTCCCTTCCCTAAAGTATAGAGTTCCGTAATATTGTACTAATAATTTCACCTTTGAAGTCACGAAAATTTCGTTGCTTTTAGTGTGAAGAGTGTAACGTTTAGATTGTTCATTCTGTTGCTTCTTGACTGTCGTTACTTTTCTTTTATTATGTTCGATAACGTTACCCCAGAGAAGGCTATGGCCTTTACGAAACTAAGCGTAGCTGTAAATTGTTATTATATCTATTTCAGTACCTATACACGTCGTTCTCCTATTTCACCGCAGTGCGTATCATGGTTAAAAACACCAATGTCGATTGAAGCATGACCTAACAGTAATGTAATAACTGAATGCACTTCCTTACTTATGTGGAAATTACCTTAAAAAAATTAGTAGTACCAGATCTCCCTCTGCTCGCGCCATCGAACTGCATAAAGCATAATTTTAACATCCCTTAGAGTAAATGACTTGTATTAAATACATCGTAATAATAATAATCACTTTGTTCTGTCACTACACTTGCAAGTTTCACAAGGAAGCTCTTCTATTTTGGCGCATTGCACCTCGATATGTCAAATTTTCAGTTTTAGCGATAACAGCAAGCAGAAGCACATAGTCGATATCTTGAGAAGGGATTTGAAATGAAACTGTAAGTAACGTTGAGAAGAAAACGGCTCAAAAGCTATGGTTAAACCTACAACAATTGCTACATATTCCTTCGACTAATGAGATATGAACTGTGCTTACTACAAATGCAGAATAACAACGGTACACCAAGTATTCGAAAGCTAAGTACCATTCAACGAAATAATGTTAACATAAGAAACATCAGGGAACGTGGAGAATAATTCACAAGCTACCATTACAGCGGCAAAATGTATAATATATTGATAGCGCTGGGGTATCATCTACGCAATGGAATTGACCAATCGTTGGTACCACGTGAAAGTACGCTAACATCCCTCTGCTTTGCGTACAGTATTCATTACAGTGTTCTCTTCCGTGTAAATTTTAAATTCATATTCGAGTCTATCCCACGATCAGATCGCATAAGAATCGTTTGTTTAGTTACTTTGTTTCAAATGTAAGAAACGCTTCGAATCTTAGTTGCTTCTTTGCTGTCTCGAGTTGATCTCGAAATCCTTATTGTTTTTAAATAATTTGCCGTGACAGTCGTGTCCCATTATGATACGAAATATAACTCCAGAGAAGGCGATAGCTTTTACTCGGTTAAGCGTGGCTCTAAATGCTTATTGGCCTCCATCGCCAACTGCCACGAGGATCCAAGTGCTTTGTTTCAAAGTCTATAGATTTATAGCGATGCTTAGCGTCGGGGTGTTCCTGTTCCCGCTATCGTACTCGATCTACGTGAACATAAAAGTTGATACGTTTACTGTCACCAAGGTGACTTGCTTCACCTCTGCTATCGTACACATCTTCGGGCAGTCAATTCTGAGCTACATCCATTACGATAGGATTCAGGTAAGAATTTTACTATATGTTTGAAAACGTGTGCTCCGAAAGTTAACAGACTGTAATTTATAGAGATAATTTTTGGTCTTTCGATAAATCTTTCCATTATTATTTTTATTCGTTCCAAGCACGATAGAAGCAATGAATTTAAATAAAAGAAACGATGTTTTATATACCATTTATATAAGTATCCTTGACTAAAGAAAATTCTTGAAATGGATTACAATTCAGCGAATTCATTTGTCAGATTTTGTAACAGCAACGATGTATTGCAGGCGATAATTGCACAGATGACAGACTTCTGTGCGAAAGCAAAGTCGCAGGAAAGATCTGTCCTGCAACGTTACGTGGATAAATATTCGACGTTTTACATGGTGGCTGTATCCTGGTTTTACATGACATCTGCCATGTTCGTCTTAGGAACTCTGCTCATAGATCAGCCCTTTCCAACAGACGCTGCATATCCGTTTGACGTCGACTACGAACCATTGAGGACGACAATCTTTTTGCACCAAAGTTACGTCTGTATACAGTGTGCTGCAATGACGAGCTCCAACGCCTACGTTGCTCTGTTGTTGTTGTTCGCAGCAGCACGACTCGAGATTTTAATGCTGGAGCTACGCGATGTTCATGACTTTGAAGCGTTGATTCGATGCATCAAAAAGTATTACAGTGTGAGAAGGTACAGAACAAGATCAGAATAAAGAACGAGTGAACAACGTTGTACAAGGTCGAAATAAAGCACACGACAACTAACAATTTACTCAAGTTTTTGTGAGATATTTTTTCAAAAAAAAAAAAAATATATATACATGTCGAATTGAGCAACCTCCGCCTTTTCAAAGTCGGTTAAAAAGCTACACGAATCCAAAGTTCGAATTTTAATTGCTATTAACCTTCCAAGAGTAAATTTACTTTCTCTTAAAGCAGTGTTACGTTTGAAAAATATTATCGGTGGTCTCTATAGACCAGAGTACTGATGTGTATGCTCTTAAATTGCAAATTACATTTGGAATACCTGTAGAGAAGGTGGTGTCTTTCCAGTTACGCACAGGAAGTGGTTGATGTTACTCAATGTACAGCACTTCTTACGATAATTCTGACCAGTATACCACTTGTGCTCTGCGGTGTGAACATTATCAGTGTAAGTATATTACGCTAGTGTCAACGATTGCTGATTGCGAATTAAGGTACGCAATAATGTTTCCGCAAACAGAAGCAACCGGTTATGATAAAAATGCAGTTCATATTTATGGCTGGGACTGCGTTTCTGGAGGTTTTCATGTGTGTGTGGCCAGCTGATGTCATGTTGGACGTGGTGAATTGATTTCTCATTTTCTTCGTACAAGTTCTCAATTGCTGTTACTATAAATCTTTTTTACTGTTAGAGTAGTAACGCTATCCAAAAAGTGTACGAATCGACTTGGTACGCACAGACTGTGAAAATGCAGAAAATTGTCCTCCTCGCGTTATTACCTCAGAAGCCATTAACCATCAGTTTGGGGTTCATCGTTCCGGTTCTGTCGCTGAACTTTTATTGCTCGGTACGTGAAAAGTATTTCTAATGTTAATTCGTCGTACGTTGATTGATGATCTGTAATGTTTCAGTACGTTTCAAATGCATTCTCCATATTTACTGCTTTACGGCTCGTATTGAACGAGCACGCCGAAAGTTGAATACGTACAAATAATGTTATTTTATAGACTGCTGGTTGATTAGCAGTAGTAGATCGAAGTATATCTCGATGTTAATGAAATGTATGTTAAAATACATAATTGAAATAGAATTATAGAACCAATCAACACTTTCATCCGTTCTCCGAGATTAAAACACTGCGTATAATGGTTGAAATTACTATCGATTCAAGCTATATCAGATAATATGTTATTAGAGGGAACGGTTGGCACACACTCTTCACGTATGAGTGGCAACAGCAGCATATAAATGATTGATTCGAAGAAATGATTCACACGCCACATGCTGTTCGTATAAATTATATTCACATTAGAAAAATGAATGCAGGAGATAGAAGATATAATTAGGATAGCAACCATATTCCAAGGCTTCAATCAAAACTAAAGTATTGAAAGGTTAATGAACGTTTCACTGTATTTCCCTTCCCTAAAGTATAGAGTTCTGTAATATTATACGATTAATTTCACCTTTGAAGTCACGAACATTTCGTTGCTTTAAGTGTGAAGAGTGTAACGTCTAGATTGTTCATTCTGTTGTTTCTTGACTGTCGTTACTTTTCTTTTATTATGTTCGATAACGTTACCCCAGAGAAGGCTATGGCCTTTACGAAACTCAGCGTAGCTGTAAATTGTTATTGGCCACCGCCATCAGATGCCACAACATTTCAAGTGATTCGTTTCAAGTTCTTCAGATATCTAGGGATAATCAGCACAGCGATGCAAATGGTACCGCTAGTATATACGATGTACATCCTCAGAAACGATACGATCACTGTTACTAAACTGGCCTGCTTCGTTATAAGTGTTGCGCACGTCTTGAGCCAGGCGTTCTTCTGTATTGCTCATCACGAACGACTCCAGGTATTTTCCTTTCTTTTCTTTGGGTCAATAAAACTTCTGATTCTACTTCATTTTCTGTACAATGAAGAGTCTAGGGTACACGTATACTTTTCTTTGAACATATTGTAATAGATCAGAATTACTAATTATAGCGCGAATAGAACAAATACCTTTTCAAGAGTTAGTAACTGCGGCAAATTGTTGCAGGTATACCTCGAATATATGGCCGATTTCTGCGCGAAAGCACAATCTTACGAAAGAGAGATTCTACAACGATACGTCGACAAGTATAAGACTTTTTATGCGCTGTCTGCGTTTTGGTTTTACGTTACCGCGACCGCGTTCATCGTTGGAGCTCTCTTGCGTCCAGAACCATTTCCTATAGAGGTAGTATACCCCTTTGACGTCGACTACGAGCCTGTAAAGACAGTGATCTTCCTCCACCAAACCTATTTTGGTATTCAATGTTCTGCGATGACGTGCGGCAATGCATTTGCTACGATGCTGTTAATATTCGTCGCAGCGCAATTTGAGATTGTAACGGTGGAACTGCGGGCCGTTGAAAATGTCGAAATGTTGGTACAATGTATAAAAAAATATTATCGTGTGAGAAGGTACGAGATAAACTTTATCGGATCTGGTGATACGTACATACCAAGTATCTTTAGGAGGGATGTAAAGAAGGTTTTGACTTTTCAGTGAAGCAGAGAAAGTGGTTAACATAACTCAATATACTACACTCTATACGACAATTACGGCCGCTTTGCCACTCGCGCTCTGTGGTCTCAATGTTATCGGTGTAAGTACATTACTCTCCTCTTAGTCAGCTTCAATTGTTTGTCGCAAACGTAAACGTATTTCTGTAAACAGAAAACACCAGTTGGTGTAAAAGCGCAGTTCATATTCATGGCTGGGACTGCATTATTGGAAGTCTTCATATGTTCGTGGCCAGCTGACAACATGGTGGAAGTGGTAAAGTATCTTTCGATACTTCCGTACGAATTGTCAATTGCTATTACGCGAATCCTTTTTATTATCAGAGTACCAACACTATGCAAACCGTGTACGAATCCATGTGGTACAATAAGGATTTGAAAATGCACAAAATGGTCCTCCATTCGTTACTCCCTCAAACGCCAGTGGCTATCAGTTTCCCTTGCATCGTCCCGGTTATGTCATTGAAATTTTTTTGTTCGGTATGGAAATATCTTTTTTGAAGCTATTCGATTGTATTTTTATATCCATTGATATTCTGGTTTTTCAGTACGTCTCGAATGCGTTTAGCCTGTTCACTGCTTTACGAGTTATGTTGAACGATTGACGGTACGATGTTAATTACTCATTGACTAGTAGTAGTTTAAAATATACATTGGTGTTATTTGGGTACGTATTATAGGATTGAAGATACACACTGGATCTTGCATTCAATGTAATATACGTCGCTCGACTTCGTGCTTCTCGAAAGCAACAAAAATAAACAGAAAAATACAATAAATGGTCACGTATAGCTAGTACAAGTAGTTCCTGATTTTGTGAGTTTATTTGACGACCACTCGACATAGAAAGTATTTCCGTTAGTTTATTTAGAGAAACACATCAACGAAACTTAGTAACACAAGAAACATACCCTGTATCGATCCTGACATTATTAGAATGCCATCACAGAAAATCCTATCCAAACATTTTCATTAGTTTGTAAATTTATCAAACATAAACAATTACAATTCTATCACGTTGTAATGTTAATATAGACATATAAATTCAATCGGTACTTTCAGCCGTCTCCTAAGTTTAAAGCACTGCTTACGATGGTTGAAATTACTATCGATTGAAGCTACGTGAGAAAGAACGTTATTAAAAGAAATGGTAAGCACAAAAAGTTCCTAGTACGCACGATTGGTAATAACGGCACATGAATGATTGATTGGAAGGAATAATTGCACGCCACATGCCGGCAGCAGGAATTATCTTCACATAAGAAACTCGAATGCAGGAGTGAGAAGATTTAATTGAAGTGGAAACCGTACTGCATAGCTCCAATTAAAGCTAAATTATAGAATGGTTAATCAAGCCCCACTGTATTTCCTTTGCGCGAAATACTGAATTTAGTAGTAATGCTCCAATAATAGTCACGATCATTTAGTGACTTTAGGTGTAAAGCGGGCAACGTTTTGATCCTTCATTCTGCTGCTCTTTGACTGTCAAAATAATTGACACTATCGTGAAAAGCTGAGCAGATACATGTTCGTGCTTATTTTCTATCATTATGTTCGATAACGTTACCCCAGAGAAAGCTATGGCCTTTACGAAACTCAGCGTAGCTGTAAATTGTTATTGGCCACCGCCATCAGATGCCACAACATTTCAAGTGATTCGTTTCAAGTTCTTCAGATATCTGGGGATGCTAAGCACCGCGTTGCATGGTCTACCCTTAATATATTCGATATACCTGCACAGGAATGATACGATCACTCTTACCAAAGTGATCTGCTTCACTTGCAGTGTGCTTCATATCTTGAGCCAGGCATGTTTTTGTATTGCTCATCACGAACGACTTCAGGTATCGTACAACGCAAGAGCTAGAACAACTACTTCGACAAATTCATCAGAGCCGGTATTCTTTCGAGTCAATAATAGTTCTATTACTATTTTTGGCCCGAATAAAACGAATACCCATTCAAGAGTTAGTAACTGGACTAGAGTGTTGCAGGTGTACCTCGAATACATGGCCGATTTCTGCGCGAAAGCACAATCCTACGAGAGAGAGATCCTACAACGATACGTCGACAAGTATAAGACTTTTTATGCGCTGTCTGCATACTGGTTTTACGTCACTGCGATCTTGTTCATATTAGGAGCTCTCTTCGGGCCTGAAGAGTTTCCAATAGAAGCTGAATACCCTTTCGACGTAGAACACCAGCCTGTCAGAACGATAATCTTCTTGCACCAAACATATTTCTGTATGCAATGCTCTGCGATGACGTGCGCCAACGTGTTTGCCGCGATGCTGTTGATATTCGCTTCAGCGGAATTCGAGATTTTAATGGTGGAACTGCGTGCCGTTGAAAATGTCGAAATGTTGATTGAATGCATAAAAAAATATTATCGTGTGAGAAGGTACGAGAACAAGTGACGCGCACATACCAAGTATATTCAGGAGGGATGTAAAGAAGGTTTTGATTTTCCAGGGATGCAGATGAAGTGGTTGACATGGCTCAATATACAACTCTCTATACAGTAATTATGGCCCTTTTGCCACTTGCACTCTGCGGTCTCAATGTTATCGGTGTAAGTATATTACACTCCTCTTGGTCAGCTTCAATTGTTTGTCGCAAACGTAATCATATTTCTGTAAACAGAAAACACCAACTACTGTAAAAGCGCAGTTCATATTCATGGCTGGGGTTACATTATTGGAAGTATTTATGTGTTCGTGGCCAGCTGACAATATGTTGGAAGTGGTAAAGTAATTTTTCGAAACGTCTGTACGAGTTCTTAATTGCTATTATGTGAGTCCTTTTTATTACTAGAGTACCAACACTATGCAAACTGTGTACGAATCAGTGTGGTACAATCAGGATTTGAAAATGCACAAACTGGTCCTGCATTCGTTACTCCCTCAAACACCAGTTATCATCAGTTTCCCTTGCATCGTTCCGGTTATGTCATTGAAATTTTTTTGTTCGGTATGGAAATATTTTTTTTTAAGCTATTCTACTATTTCTTTACATTTATTGATAATCTATCTATTTCAGTACGTGTCAAATGCGTTTACTCTGTTTACTGCTTTACGAGTTATGTTGAATGACTAATTGAAGGTACATGCCGAATCTTACCACTTGTATAATAGAGGGCTCTCGACTTCATGTTTCTCAAAGCAATAAAGGAGAACCGGAATATGCAATAAATGATCACGCATAGCTGTTGTAAATAGTTCCCGAACTTGTGATTTTATTTGACCACTCAACATAGTCAGTGCTTCTGTTAATTCATTTAGATGAGCAAATAAACAATGTTTAGTAATATCAGAAATATGCGTCATTTGTAATATAATCAGTAGAATAATTATAGCTAGTCTGAATCATTAAACATAAGACAATCTATTTTAATCATTTGCAATTAAAGTAAGTAAGTATTTTGGAAATGAGAAATACAGCTTCTCTGTACCCATTTACTGTTGTTTAATACAGTGCTTACGTTCATTTACAATCATTTGAAGTAAAGGAAACTATCATGCCATTTCTATAGTAAGTACAAACGTTCATTAAATCGGATATTACCTTTCGTGAATAGAATTTGTCATGTAATCCTCTAGATTTGTTCTATTCAGTATATGAATGATTTTTGTGAAATCTCAGGACAAACAGCAGGAAATCGTGCCAAACGTGAGCGAATACTATGTTTAAAGTATGTGGCGTAACATGTATGACAATACGTCCCATATGATGTAAGTAATTTGAATACCTCTTTTGAAGCAATATTCTCGCTTTATATTATAAGATAGTAATATTGCGTTACTGGTGAGTATTATACCAACACTTGTTTGTAATAAGCCGAACGTAAACATTCGCATTACTAACACTTTATGATTTCAATCGTTCTCCAAATTGAAAACAGCATTCCGTGAAAGATTTTTCCTTCAGCTGCTGTTTTACGAAAAGAATACATACTATGAAGATATAGTAAGTGGATACCTTTTCATTACATGTGAACAACAACATTGGTACATGAATGATTTGCATTCCACGTGCCGTTTTGTATAAATTATTTTCCCCTAAGGAAGCCGTATGCAGGAGTAAAGAGATATTATTAGGGCTGGAACGCGCATAATATCGGCAACTTCAACCTCTGTAGTTAAATTGTTAAACGGTACTCCCACGCGAAATCGTGCTAGCATCTCTTTGCACTATTATACTTCTAACTTGTATCGATTTTAAATACGTTCTACCGATTACCTTACCTCTGAAAGCGATATCGTTTAGTTACTTTATTTCGGAATAGCGGAGCGTTTCGATTTTTAATTCCGTTGCTCCTTTGCTATCGCGAGTTAATCTCGAAGGGCTGTTCTTTATGAATACATCGTGCTTAGATTCTTCTATTATGTTCCGAGACGTATCCCCAGAGAAGGCTATAACTTTTACTCGACTCAGCGTAGCTCTAAATTGTTATTGGCCTTTGCCATCTACCGCCACATGGTTTCAGGTCCTACGATTCAAAATCTTCAGAATACTATCGATGCTTAGCACCGCGGCACTCGTTTTTCCGCTGTTATACTCAATGTATGTGCACCGCGACGATACGGTCATTCTCACAAAGGTCGCTTGCTTTACTCTTGCTCTCATTCACATCTTGTGCCAGTCGGTATTCAGTATCGTTCATCACGATCGGATTCAGGTACAGTCTCTCACGATTCTTTAGTCGAAATCAGTCTTTCTCAAGAAGAACAAATGAGTATTTGGAAAAAGAGAGACGAATACTTTCTATACGGTAGATTTAACTTCGTAGTATATTTAACGAAAGCTCACAAGTATTGCCATTTTCGACGCGAGAAAAATGAATGAATCTACTCGATTGAGAGTCAGTAATTGCAGTTACATTTTTCAGGTGTTGGTCGAGGAAATGACAGAGTTTTGCACGAAAGCAGAGACGATCGAAAGATGCGTCCTCCAACGATACGTCGACAAGTACTCGACGTTTTACGGGATGTCTGCCTCTTGGTTTTACGTGACCTCGAGTATCTTTGTCGTAGGAACTTTGTTCATAGATCAGCCCTTTCCAACTGACGCAGCCTATCCGTTCGCCGTCGATTACGAGCCCGTGAAGACGGTGATTTATCTGCACCAAACTTATGTGTTTATGCAATGCTCCGCGATGGTGTGCGTCAACATGTTCGTTGCACTGCTGTTGCTGTTCACCGCGGCACGATTCGAGATACTCATGGAGGAGCTACGCGTTGTTCAGAACGTCGACATGTTGATAGAATGTCTAAAAAAATATTACCACGTGAGAAGGTACGAGACAAGTTTAATCAGAATGAAGATTGTTTTCTCTTTTTAATAAAAATGATAATTTCTTCTCTTGCCGATGTCCTTTATTAATTAATCGACACAGAACGTTGATTTTCGTCTATTTTTTCTTATACAATCGATGCGTTGTGCATGTATTTTAAATTCATATCAATTAAATAATAAAAGGATGTACCCAAAATAGCTGTAACGAAGGTAGTGTCTTTCCAGTTATGCACAGGAAGTGGTCAATGTCCTCCAATATTCAGCCCTCTACACGACAGTGATGGTCACGCTCCCAATCGTGCTGTGCGGCTTGAATATTATTGGTGTAAGTCTATTAATCCGCTATTTTACACATTATGATTGTCTTTAGGAAAGGTTATTGATGCTCGAAAGCTAGCATGGGAACCTCATACTTGACATAAACTTTCTCTGACGATTCCATACTCGTGATATTTAAAAAGTAGCTACAGCTATTATTTTAATCGAAATAATACATGTAAATATATTTTTACAAGCAGCGCCAACCGATTGTGATAAAAGTGCAGTTCATGTTCTTGGCTGGGACTACGTTACTGGAGGTTTTCATGTGTGCGTGGCCTGCCGATACCTTGCTGGAAGTGGTGATGTGTTTTTTTTCCATTGTATCCCCGCGCGTTCACAATTGCTATGACGTAAATCTTTTTTGCTACCAGAGTGAAAAGGCGATGCGAAGCGTATACGAATCGACATGGTACGAGCAGTCTGTGAGAATGCAGAAAATCGTTCTGCTCGCGTTGCTGCCTCAGAAACCAATAACCATCCATTTGGCGTTCATGGTTCCAGTTCTGTCATTGCAATTCTTTTGCTCGGTAAGTGAACACTTATCTTGAGACGGAGGATCGCGATCCTAAATCCTAACGGATGATCTTTGATTTTTTAGTACATTGCAAATGTGTTTTCCATGTTCACTACGTTGCGACTAGTGTTGAATGAAGAGGCCAAAAGTTGATTGCGTCGAATGATGCTGTAGGAATTAGTGATTGACTAATTAATCAAAGTATGTGGCACTAAAATAAAAGATATACGATGAATCTTGTATTCAGGTGGCATGAATTATAATACAAAGATCCTCATCGTTTACATGGTTTCCAGAAACGTCTCCAAAAGGAAAGTCAAGTTTGTAAGCTTTCCTAATAACGCCTACGTAGAGCCAATGCTTTTGCTAATTTACTTGATACACTAACCGTCATCATTCCTTCAAATATAGTATGCTCTGTTCGATTTTAAACATGTTTTATTTAATTAAAGATGCTCTTCACGTGTTCGTGATTTTAAGATTTTCTTGTACGAAACATGACATATTTCAGGATAAAAATGTTATTTTAAATGCCCTTAGCTGTAATGCTTTTCACACAATCATCGCCACAGATTCTCGCGAGAGACGTTAAAACAAATATCGGTTTCAGGCAAGTGACCATTACTACTTCAAAAATTATTTATCGATCTAAAATCACGGTTTAAAATCACCTTACATTACGATATCCATTTTCTCGCATCATGATTGCCTTTCCATATTTATTAAACATTCACTTCGTCACTTTCAGCGTCTGTGCGTGTCAGTCGATAGCTTGAAATCACCGTCAGATGAGGTTCTGTAAAAAGAAATACTAATAGATGCAAGGGGAAACGATAAGCACATGCTTTCTCATTATGTATGAAGGGCAACAAAGGCATGCGAGTTGTTTTCAAGACAAGTAATGTCCCATACAATTATCTTCGCGCAAGGAAAGCATAACTGCATACGGATAGGAAAAAGAATACACGAAAGCACCCATTACAGCGGCAATGGGCATAACATATTAATAGTTTCCAGGCAGTCTGTGCGCAATTGAATCGTCGAAGGGTTGGTACTATGTAAAAGTGTGCTACCACCCCTACTCCAATTTCCATTGCAGGCAGAGTTTGCGTCAATTCACTCTTCAATCGAAACGCCATTACACGTTCGAGTCCAAACGAATCGCTTCATGACAAAAGTGTGAATTGTTTCTCTTCTGAGGGTCCATTTATTCGTTTATCATCGAGTTCTCTTGCTCGTAAAATGCGTAATTGTTTTCATCTTGCTTCGCTATGTTTGGGAACGTAACTCCAGAGAGGGCCATAGAGTTTACTTGGTACAGCGTAGCTTTGAACTACTGTTGGCCACCGCCATCGACAGCCACCAGACCTCGGATGGTTTATTTCAAGATCGTGAGGATCCTAGCGATTCTTAGCGCCTTTGCACTCGTTCTACCTCTTTTGTACTCACTCCACGTGCACCGGAACGATCCAGTCATCTTCACCAAAGCGGCCTGCCTCGCAGCATCTGTTTCACAGATCCCGATGCAATCATTTTTCTGCATTGTTCATTACGATCGCCTCCAGGTAGAATCCTCGAGGATTGTTCTGGCATCGAGTGATCCATGCGTGCCGTGAATCGTAGCATTGGTAACAGAAGTCACGTGTTGCAGGCGTTGACCGAACAGATGGTGGATTACTGCGCGAAAGCGAGGTCGTACGAAAGGTTCGTGCTGCAACGTTACGTCAACAAGTACTCAACGTTCTACGGGGTGTCAGCGACTTGGTTCTACTTGACGGCGACTGTCGTCGTCGTGGGATCATTGTTCGTAGATCAGCCCTTCCCAACGGAAGCAGAGTACCCGTTTCCTGTAAATTTCATGCCTCTGAGGACGACGCTCTTCATCCACCAAGCGTTTGTTGGTTTGCAGTGCGCCGCCATCGTTTGCATGAACATGTTCGCTGCCCTCCTTTTGTTGTTCGCAGCTGCTAGGTTTGAAATTTTAATGCTGGAACTGCGCTCTGTTCAGGACATCGGAACGTTGATACAATGCATACGAAAGTACTACCATGTGAGAAAGTATGGGATAAATTTCAAGTAGAATACAGTAACGTCCTTATTCCCGTCAGTTGTGTGGGATCGAGGAGTACTGTTTAAATAGACATGCTTGCGATTCTGTTCAAAGAATCGAGGGCGAGTGACGATAACTCCATGATCTATCTCAGGCTAGTAGTTCTAGAAACTGTGTGACGCGATTACGGCCTGAAACATTGACGGGAAGAAGAACTGTGTTATAACTCCTCAGTGCTAAGTCAGAGGATCCATAAATATAAAAATTCAACTCGCATGATTACTTTGATCAAAGCTACGTAATCATTTCTAAGCAATACACTACAATGAAATTAAAAACAAGATTTTACGAAAACTTGACCGTTTGTAAGGGAATTATAAACTCATATAAAATTAATTTCTCACATTTATAGGTCTTCCAAAAAGTAGCTTCAAACTGAGAAATCCTCATTTTAACCTGCCCAATGTTCATCCTCGTGTATACACGTACTGCATACTTCTTTCAGATATGCACAGGAAGTGGTTACGTTTGTGCAGTATACAGCACTCTCCACGACGATAGTAGCCAGCGTTCTACTCGTACTCAGTGGTTTTCACATCGTCGGAGTAAGTCTGCAGCCGTACTGTTGTTCTCTTTTAACCGCATTGTGGAAACATGAAAAGACTTTCTTGCTTCACAGCGACAACCGCTTGCAATCAAAGTGCAATTTATATTCCTGGCTTTGACTGCACTGGTAGAGGTTTTCATGTGCGCCTGGCCAGCTGACAACTTGTTGGAGGTGGTGAGTTTTTCCTCGTCATCTTTGTGGATTTTTCATTGGAATCATGTACGTGTTAATTTTTGTCTGTCAGAGCGAAAGTACTATTCGAAGCTTGTACGATATGGGATGGTACGAACAATGTTTGAAAATGCAGAAGACAGTGATGCAAACGTTGCTACCTCAGAAGCCGATAGTAATCAGTATCGCGTGTGTCATTCCAGTCTTGTCGTTGAATTATTATTGTTCGGTACGAGAGTCCTCGCAGTCATGTTTTTTTTATACAATAGCGATGCCAATTGAGTTCATGTAATATTTCAGTACGTGGCGAACGCATTTTCCATATTTACTGCGCTACGTGTCATGCTCAGCGACGAAGACGCAAGTTTGTTGCCAAGAATTAATAATACTTTCCTATCTACTGACTAGAATCGGCTAGGTGTAAGTACATTAATTTGTTTAGTATATCATCTGTACAGATTTTTCATTTGAATTACGTTTAATTTTTTTATTCAATTTTGTGTTACAGGTACACTACTCTACATCTACCAAAGGTTTCAACATTTCTTAATTGTGCATATTAGCTTCCCTTGTAAGACAAAAGTAGTTTAACATTCACCGACCAAGTTATTAGGGATTTTAAATGAACGGATCGAATAGGAAACGATAAGATTATAAATGAACGTTTTGTGTAAAGAATACATACGATTCTATGTACAGAACATGATATGTTACAAAATAAAAAACATTAATGCAAACGCATTTAGTGGCAACGTTCCCCTCATCATTATTGTCACTAGTTGTTACAAAAAGCGTTTACACAAACACTCACTGTATGCAGGTAACAATTACTATTCAAAGAGCTTATTATTTTGTAGTGGAAAAGTCAGCTTAGTAGTCAGATACGTTACTCGCTTAGTAACTACTCACTTGGACGTTTCAGCATCAGACTATCCTGTTTCCAACTCCAACGCACGGCGTATCGCGGTTGAAATGGCCATGGATTCAGACACTGTACAAAGAAATGTTATTAATTGTAAGAGGAAACGGTAAGCATATGTTTTCCATTATGTATAAAGAGTAATAAAGGTATACGAATTATTTACAAGTCAAGTAACGTCCCACGCAGTGATGCATAACTGCAAGGAATGCATAACTGCATCCGGAAATGTAGCGAAATACACAAAAGCTGCCATTACAGCGGCAACGTGCATATAACATATTCATAGTCTCTACGTAGTCTCTATACAATTGAACCGGCCAAGGGGTTGGATACAACGTAAAAATGTGCTAGTCACCCCTACCTTCCTCCCGATTTGCTTTACAATCAGTATTCATTGTTGTTCTCTTGTACCAATCGTCTCTACTTTTAAAACAGTACCGCACACTCGAGTTCCTCGCGCGCAATCCTTCAGCTCCTTCGTAATGAAAGTTTAAAACTTTTCAACACTGAGTATCGCCCTAGTCAATCTTCAAATTCTCATTTTCATCGAATACGCTTCTGCTTTGCTTAACTATGTTTGGAAACGTATCACCAGAGAGGGCTATAGAGTTTACTTGGTTCAGCGTGGCTTTGAACTATTGCTGGCCACCGCCATCGACGGCCACCAAATTTCAGATCACCTTATACAAGTTCATCAAGCTTCTGGTGGTTCTTAGCGCTGCAGGACTCGCTCTTCCTCTCTTGTACTCACTCCACGTGCATCGCAACGACCCAATTATCTTCACCAAAGCAGCTTGTTTATGCGTGGCTGTTACACAAATACCAGTACACTCGTCTTTCTGTCTCGCCCATCACGAGAGGCTTCAGGTAGAAGCTGCGACGATTGATCCAGCATCCCATTCGATGTAAGCGTACCTTGTTCGAAGTATTGGTAACAGCAGTCGCGTGTTGCAGGGGTTGCTCGAACAGATGACAGATTATTGCGCGAAAGCCAAGTCGTACGAACGATTCGTGCTACAACGTTACGTCAACAAATACTCGACGTTTTACGGGGTGTCCGCGACATGGTTCTACGTTACCGCGGCTATTTTCGTCGTTGGAACTCTGTTCGTCGATCAGCCCTTTCCAACAGAAGCGGAGTACCCGTTTAACGTTGATTACGAGCCTCTGAGGACGACGCTTTTCCTTCACCAAACAGTCGTCGGTTTTCAGTGTGCTGCGAACGTGTGCGTGAACGGGTTTGCTGCAATGCTGCTGTTATTCGCAGCTGCTAGATTCGAGATCATAATGATAGAGCTGCGCGCTGTTCAAGATATCCAAATGTTGGTAGAGTGCATACAAAAGTATTACCACGTGAAAAGGTAGGAAACATTTTTTTTTTTTTTTTTTTTTTTTTTAAGAGGAATTTTACTAAACTTGACCATCCTCTGGAAACCAGAATATTAATTAATTTTCATTTTTACGAGTCGTGGACAACTTTGAACCGAGGAACACTTGACTGTCCAACTTTCTTCTTTTTATTTACACATTCAAGTTCCTCTATTTTAGATACGCGCAAGAAGTGGTCACGTTTGCGCAGTACATAGCTCTCACCGCGACGATTGTGGCCAGCTTTCTGCTCGTACTCTGCGGTTTTCATATTGTCGGAGTAAGTATGTAACGACGTTATTATACTGTCCTAATCGCATCTTGGAAACACGGACAGATTTTTCTGTGAACAGCGGCAACCGCTTGCGATAAAATTGCAATTCTTATTCTTGGCTATGACTGCGCTAATGGAAGTTTTCATGTGCGCCTGGCCGGCTGATAACTTGTTGGACGTGGTAAGCTTTTCTCTGGGTTACCTGAGTGGATTTTTATTGTAATAATTTACCTGTCCTATCTTTTTTCTATCAGAGCGAAGGTGCTATTCGAAGCTTGTACGAAGTAGATTGGTACGATCAAGATTTGAACATGCAGAGGACCGTGATGCAAACTTTGGTACCTCAGAAACCGATAGCCATCAGCATTGCGTGCGTCATCCCAGTCATGTCGTTAAACTATTATTGCTCGGTACGAGTGTGCTCATAGCGATGCCCGTTTATCGCGTTACTGTGACAATTAACTTTATGTAACGTTTCAGTACGTGGCGAATGCATTTTCGATATTTACTGCGCTGCGTGTCATGCTTAGCGACGAAGACGAAAGTTTGTTGCCAAGAACTAATAATACTATCCTAACTACTGACTAGAATCGCCTAGGTGTAAGTACATTAATTTGTTTTGTACATCATCTGTACAGATTTTTAATTTGAATTGCGTTTAGTTTTTTATTCAATTTTGTGTTACAGGTACATTACTCTACATCTACCAAAGGTTTTAAAATTTCTTAATTGTGCATATTAACTTCCCTTGTAAGACAAAAGTAGTTTAATATTCACCGACCAAGTTATTAGGGAAGTTAAATGAATGGATCGAATAGGAAACGATAAGATTATAAATGAACGTTTTGTGTAAAGAATACTTACGATTCTGTGTACAAAACATGATATGTTACAAAATAAAAAACATTAATGCAAACGCATTTAGTGGCAACGTTCCCCTCATCATTATTGTCACTAGTTGTTACAAAAAGCGTTTACACAAACACTCACTGTATGCAGGTAACAATTACTATTCAAAGAGCTTATTATTTTGTAGTGGAAAAGTCAGCTTAGTAGTCAGATACGTTACTCGCTTAGTAACTACTCACTTGGACGTTTCAGCATCAGACTATCCTGTTTCCAACTCCAACGCCAGCGTATCGCGGTTGAAATGGCCATGGATTCAGGCACTGTACAAAAAAATGTTATTAATTGTAAGAGGAAACGGTAAGCATATGTTTTCCATTATGTATAAAGAGTAATAAAGGTATACGAATTATTTACAAGTCAAGTAACGTCCCACACAGTGATGCATAACTGCATCCGGAAATGTAGTGAAAGATTCTTAATCGATGACTTTACCTCTGTCTTGAGAGACAATTATTGTAACAGTAAATTTACGTAGACTGTTAAATAAAATTTTGTTACTTATCTTTCAGAGCGAAAATGCAGTTCGAATCTTGCACTAATCGTCATAGTACGAACAGGATTTAAGTATGCAGAAAGTCGTAAGGTAGATATACGTTGTCACCTCAAACACTAATAGTGGTCAGCTCGGGTAATTGTAGCTATGGCGTTGACCGATTATTATTCGGTATGAGAGTAGTCACAGAAAAATTCCGTATGGCCTGGGTAACAGCTCGAAAAATGCTTTTATTTAAATTCATCTACACTACTGTTATTCGCACTGTTATACCCACTATAGTAGGTATTAGAGATCCCTACTTCACGTGTATCGAAATACACGGGTACCCGGATATAGAAATACACGGGTACGCACATTGACTTGAACAGTTATTTTAACTAACAAATAAAGTTTTACAAATCATACTAAAAAATTTATTCTGTTATATTTATTCTTCTTAGGTTTACACTTTTTTCATTTACTTGTTTTATAGCTTATAAATTTCTTCAAAATTAACAAGGATCGTTATTTTAGAATAGAAGCTTTTGTTACGTAAGAGTTTGTATATAAAAATAATTGGATACTGTACCCGTATAATTCGATGTATCCGTATCTGTGTATTTCGATGCACCTGTACGTACCTGGATATCCTTGTATTTCGATATCCGGGTGTCAGCGTATTTCAATACCCGGGTACCCGTGTACTAAAAATACCCGTGTTCTTAATCCCTTGATACACGGTACACGTGTTCCGTGCACCCGTGTATTTGATACCCGTTCAAAACCGTGATCTCTACTAGGTATGTCAAATTTTAGTAGATTTCAGCTGCATTTTTCTCGTTCGCTGTGTTACATCTCCCGATGTACAGATCCACGGTATTTGCGCGATAGTCAATTTTAGTCATCTATGTTTCAATAAAGGATAGCTACGTAGACTGTGTCGTTTTAAACTTTTTTTGATTGTATCCTATTGTAGTGTCCGCGCCTCCCATACCCAACAATAAGGAGTCAAATAAGAACACGAAACGTAGGGTACGGGATTGGTCGCGTAGGTAAAGCGGTCGACTGTGAATCCGAGGATCGTGGGTTTGAATCCCCGTGCCTTATTTTTCGTTTAAACTCCTACACTATTGTTGTTTCATTTGAACGATGTATTATGGAATACATACACGAAATGGTTTACTTGCGTTGGGAGTCTAAATGATTATTGTCAACAGGTGAAATCCAATCTGCTTACACAACTCAAATCTTGTGTCATATAAAATGTAGAATTTTCAAAGAAGATTTACTTTTCGATACGCACTGGGATCTGTAAATGTTCTGAGATTGTCTCAGCAGTAGCATACTCACGCGAAATAATTCGCAGTCTAAGGGAGAGGGAAACCGCGCAATTGCCAACAAAGTCTGTAGAGGTATAACGTGTCATTTTACCCTTCTTCAAATGAAAGAATTGATAGAAGGGTAATTTATACATGCACCCTACCATACATCTGCAATTCAGGTAACGGTTACATTTAGTATTCATTCCAATCTTTGTATACTTATTTATGTATCAAAGTTTCACATTCAGCATGTGTGGGCACTTCAAAGCTTCAAGAACTTCTTCCTGTGAATAGATCTAAGATACAAATCAGAATAGTTACTTTGCTTACAATGGCATGTGTAAAAACAAAAATGTACTTCTTGTGGTTATAAGGAGCAATTTCTGTCTTGGTTACTATTTTTCGTCGGCATGTTCGGCGACGTAACATTAGAAAAGGCGATCGCGTTCACTCGAATCAGCGTGGCTTTGACCTGTTGTTGGCCGCCTCGTTTCGCAGCTACCAAGTCTCAGATAGTCCGTTTCAAAATTCTCAGGTCGGCAGTGATGCTAAACGCATTCGCGCTCTTGTTTCCCCTGCTGTATGCACTTTACGTGGAACGCGATAACCCTAGCAACTTCGTTCAGGCGGCATGCCTAACACTGGCTACTCTCCAGGTTCTCGTGCAAACGATTTTTTGCATTAGCCAGTACGATCGTCTTCGGGTAAGTATCTCCCGAAATTTTAGACGAAGAAGTCCTTGAGTAAAGCTGTGCCTTTGTAACGACACTTTCTCAACTGTGCTCCCAGCTTTCAACTCTGGTCCTTGACATAGGAAATACTCATTGTACCGCAAACATTCGTGCACTGTGTACATTACCGAATTAATCACCACGTAGAGAGATTTAAGAACGAATAATTTTAGTGGCATGTTGTAGCGGTTGATAGAAGAGATGATACTTTACTGCGAGAAAGCGAAATCGTATGAAAGTTACGTGTTCCAACGGTGCGCGCAAACCTATAGCGCGTTTTATGGAGTGTCTGCGATCTGGTTCTACGTGTCAGCGTGTACCGTTGTCGTAGGAAGTGTGTTGATATCTCAGCCTTTTCCGACCAAAGCTGAATATCCGTTCGCTGTGGATTACGAGCCCTTGAGAACGATTATTTTTCTTCATCAAGCTCTAGTTGGTATGCAATGCGCTGCACATGCATGTATCAACATGTTTGGTGCTCTGCTGCTGTTGTTTGCGGCTGCACGGTTCGAGATTCTGATGATGGAGCTGCGAAACATCACCGACGTTCATAGCCTGATCGAGGGAGTAAACAAATATCACTCTGTGAAAAGGTAAGAGACTACTTGTAAATGAGATATATTCTTGAAGGGAGATGAGGGAACAAATTTCGTCCAAGTGGACACTAGAATCTATGAGAAGCCAGTGGGTGTGTCATTACAGATACGCAAAGGAAGTGGTCAAGTGTGTTAAATTAATTGCCCTGAACACGCTAGGACTATGCGGAGTGGCGCTTGTGCTATGCGGCATTAGTTTCATCGGGGTAAGCATTCCGTCGTGCTGTTAGCAGCTTCTAGCTGCAACCTAATACTCTGGTCGTATCGAGAGAAACGATGAAAATTGCATGAATTAGGACACAATGAAATTTCTTAGGAACCACATAAGATATAGTCGTGCATGATACGTCAGAATGTTAGAATGAATATTTTCTATATACTAAACTATTCCCTGTTCTCAAACAGCGCGTGCCGCTCACGATAAAATTGCAATTCTTATGCTTGGGTGGAACTGGATTGTTAGAGGTATTCATGTGCGCCCTGCCAGCGGATCGCTTGATGGACGTAGTGAGTCGATCTTCGGTATCTCCTTGTCTTCGAATTCCAGAATGCCATTGATTTAATTTTTATTACCAATAGAGCCAAAACGCCATCTCAGGTGCGTACGAATCGTCGTGGTACGAGGAAACATTGAGAATGCAGAAGAACGTGCTTCATATGCTGATACCACAGAAGGAGGTAGCCATCAGGATCAAGGCTATCGTTCCAGTTCTCTCTTTGAACTACTACTGCTTGGTATGATTGCGTTCAAACTACCTATTATGCTATTCATATCGCAGTGATTTTTAGGACCTGCAATGTTTCAGTATGTCTCCAATGTGATATCCCTGTTCACTGCTCTACGGGTCACAATGATGAAGCATGACGATAAAAGTTGAGTATTCTATATCGACAACACTTGAACTGGATTATTCTTATGGCAAATATGAATTTTTTTAATGTTACTTATCTTAATTATAAAATGAATAAATATATATTTGAAATGTATAGTATCAATGACGTGCATGGACTTATCCACAAATGTTTCGTTACACACAAAGTGTATTTAAATAAAGGAGTCTTGGCTCAATAATGAAAGGATTGGTGTTCTTTGAGTACTACTTTTCATTATCGAAGCGAAATTGTACTTAAATTTACGTTATTTACGGAAACTGAAAACAGAACTTTTTATACCAGTGGGCAGATATCTAGAGACGCGGTAGCGTCTCGACGCCAAATACGTGAAAAATTATACGCCACCGTGTATACACCGTGTATATCTGGCGCTAGCGCTACCGTCTATCTTTTACTCATATCTAAATATACTTAGATTATTTCACAGGTACTACTATCCATCCGTATTTCTTCATCGGTGTATTAATTTACCTAGGAAATAAGTGCGCACGCGGTACTTCACACATGGAGAGAAACACCTCCCGCAGTTGCTTTCCCACATGAACCTACCAATTATTGGTGGGAGCGAGAACAATCAAAGTACAAAGCCTTGCAACAGCCACGAAACTTGTAACAGCTGTTACAAGTACAACATACAATTCCGTCCCTCTCGAATCTAAATAATTGATCTAAGTATGGCTTATGCATGGAACCTAGCATCCCTCCGCAATTCACCTGATACTTTCATTTGCTATTCGTTCGAATTGTTGCATAATCATTTTGCATCAAATCCTCGAGTTTAAGATATGTCTGCACATCAACGCTTCAAAAATCTTTCCTTGTAAACCGGCTTAAAAATACAAATCAAGATAGCGTATTGTACTTACAATGACATGTGCGAGAACGTAAATGCATTTTTGGTGGTTATAAGGAGCAATTCTTAAGATTCGATTGTCACCGTTCGAGAATTTAGTCGCTACACTCGTTTGTCATGTTTGGAAACGTAACATTCAAAAAAGCTATCGCGTTCACTCGTATCAGCGTGGCTTTGACCTTCTGTTGGCCGCCTCGTTCCAAAGCTACCAAGTCTCAGGTACTCCGTTTCAAGGTCCTCAGATTAGGAGTAATTCTAAGCGCATTCGGGCTCTTTTTCCCCTTGACGTATGCACTGTACGTGCAACGCGATGACTTCACCAATTTTGCTCAGGCGGGATGTATGTTACTGGCTATTATCCAGGTTATCTTGCAGACGTTTTTCTGCATCAACCAGTACGATCGTCTTCGGGTAAGTGTCTCCTAAAGTTTTGACATGAAGAATTCCTTGAGAAAAGAAGCTCTGTTTTCGTATCAACATTATCTCGTCTCTGAGCGAATTCTCAGGTTTCAACTGTGGTTCCTCACACAGCGAATACACCGTGTATCGCAAAGATTCGTGGACTGTGTTTATAGCAGGTCCAATCAAACATAGAGAGATATGTGAATCAGTAATTTCAGCGACGTGTTTTAGCGGGTGATAGAAGAGATGATACTTTACTGCGAGAACGCGAAGTCGTATGAAAATGTCGTGTTCCAACGATACGTGGAGAGATATAGCACGTTTTACGGAGCGGCTGCAATCTGGTTCTACGCGGCAGCGTTTACCGTTGTCGTGGGGAGCGTATTGATTCACCAGCCCTTCCCGACCAACGCTGAATATCCGTTCCCTGTCGACTACGAACCTTTGAGGACCATTATTTTCCTGCACCAAGGTCTAGTTGGTCTACAATGCGCTGCCCATGTGTCTATTAGCATGCTTGGCGCCATGCTGCTGCTTTTTGCTGCTGCACGATTCGAGATTTTGATGATGGAGCTGCGAAACATCACCGACCTTCATAGTCTGATCAAAGGTGTCGCCAAATACCGCTTTGTGAGAAGGTGAGAGACTACTTTTAGATGGGATATATTCTTACATGGACGACACAACCTCAGTGAAGTGGACACAAGAGTCTATGGTAAGCCAGTGGAAATGTATACGGTGTAAGCCAACGTATTCTTACAGATACGCTGAGGAAGTGGCCAAGTGTGTTAAATTAATTGCCCTGTCTACATTAGCGATATGCGGAGGGGTACTTGTGCTCTGCGGAATTAATTGCATAGGGGTAAGCACTCTGTTTCGTTGTTAGGAGTTTCTTGTTTCAGCTTAACACTCTAGCTGCATCTAAAGAAACGATAATAATTGCAAGGATTAGGATACATTGAAAATTGTTGGGAAACTTTGGTAAGACATAAGATTTCTCATCTAGAAATTGTCACGATACGAAATGGGCCAGAACATGAACATAAATTGAACGAATATGTATGATATGTTGAAATGATTATTTTCTATATACTAAACTATTGTCTGTTCTCAAACAGCAAGTGCCATTCACGATAAAATTGCAATTCTTTTTCTTGGGTGGAGCTGGATTGTTAAAAGTATTCATGTGCGCGCTGCCAGCGGATCACTTGATGGACATAGTGAGTCGGTTTCCGATATCTCCTTGTTTTCGAATTCCTGAATGCCATTGATTCAGTTCCTATTGCCACAAGAGCCAGAACGCCATCCAAGGTGCGTACGAATCGACGTGGTACGAGCATCCATTGACTCTGCAGAAGAGCGTGCTGTATATGCTGATGCCACAGAAGGAGGTAGCTATCAGTATCAAGGGAATCGTTCCAGCTCTGTCTTTGAATTACTACTGTTCGGTACGATTAGATTCAAACTATCTATTGTGCTGTTCGTTTAACAGTAATGTCTGGGACTTGACAATGTTTTAGTATGTCTCCAATGTGTTCACCATTTTTACTGCTCTACGGATGGTGATGTTGGAGGAAGACGATGAAAGCTGAGTATTCGATGTTGATAACACTTGAGCTCGATCGTTTGTACCGTAAATTGTACTAATTTCACTCATCTCGGTTGTGGAATAAAGAAATATATCTTTAAAATATTCGACCTCATTGATATACATCCACTCTTCCACAAAAGATCCTTTATACTCTCTCCTAAGTGTCTTAAAATGAAGAAATGATCAACATCCTCGATGAAAAACATATCATGAATATAAAAAAATGTCAGATTTTTTCAGATGTGCGAATTTTATTTCTTCCTTCGTATACACTTTAACTCCATATACCCTTTAAACATTTCTCCATAGGAAGACTAATTTACCTAGGAAGAATGTGCACAGACGTAACTGCACACATGAAAAGAACCCCCCACAACAGTTGCTTTCCTACACGAAACTAACAATTGACGATTGAAGCGGAAAAGAATGCCTTCCACCTGCTGCGAAGCCCTCGACAGGTATAACATACTATTTCGCCGCTTTGAATCAAATGCACGGATCATTGGGTTATAATATTCCACTGCAATTCCGTGGTTCAACGCACAGCCACGAGTACGCAAGATTGCGCTAATAACGATCAACATGTGCCAGAAGCCCACCATAATTCACACAGGTCGATTTCTAACACCATGGTCTTTGAGATTTTGCGGTCATGTAAGATCTTGTTGCCTTAAAAGAATCAGCGTTTAAACATACAACAATGAATCGTCAAATTTTCCTTTCCAGGTTCTGTACACCGCCTACGCTTTCTTTTCAACGATGAGAGCGATACTACACGTATGAACTATGTCATATATCGTAATAACGTTATTTTATTATTTGATAAAGTGAATATTTAACGAAACTGAGCATTAAATTACAGTTATTGTTACCTACGACGCTCTTAGTGTAATTCCTACCGCCTTCTATACATTAACTTAGCAACGAAGTAAGCTCTGTTTGTGAAATGGGGTGCCGAAAGCTCTGCTTCTATCGACCATCAGCCTCCTCATCGTTTAAATCCTGTCGACGAAACGGAAGCGAAGCGGTTTATTGGGCACGTTCACCATCATGAATCTGCTCTTGATATCAGCGTAATCGTACTCGATTCTGAATTGCCGCACAAGCTGAAAATAGGAGGCGAGGAATTCGAACGTTGAAGGCGCGTATAAATCCAATTAGTAGCTTACTTAGATATTTAATAAATTTGTAATAGTAGCAACTCCGTTCCACTAACCTTTGCAGTAAGCAACATCATCGTTGTTTCAGCCATATTCTTCCCCAAACATGACCTAGCTCCGTAGCCAAATGGCAGACAGCTGAAGTCTGTGTTACCTTCTGAAAAGCTTGTTAGCCATCTCTCTGGTCGAAATTTCTCTGGATCCTCGTAATTTTCCTCTCGTTGAGAGGTTATTTGGTTTGCCATGATGACAAACGTCTGAAGATGGAGAAAAATAATGGGTAAACAAAATAATTTTCCTATTCATTTCACTCACCCCTTTTGGTATCACGTATCCATGAAGCGAAATAGTCTTCGGCAGGAGCCTAGTGAAATACGGGAACGCAGGTCTCAACCTTCAAATCAAATTGTCGATTTTATAGTTAACACACTTTATATCGATATTAATAACTTACCTCAAACTTTCTTGGAGGCAAGCCTTCAAGTATCGCATACTCTTCAACGTTTTCTCTGTTATGGGTGAGTCTCTACTTGGCAAAACGTTCATGATTTCGTCGTAGACTTTTCTTTGAGTCCTTGGGTTCTTCGCCAGGTGATACAATAAAAATGCTTCGCAGTTTGCCGTCTGAAAATGAGCAGAACATTCAACTGAACAAAATTCATTGTGTTTTCAGATCGTTACCGCCTGTACACCCAGGATGATCATGTCCATCAGCAGCGTAGAAACGTCGTCTGGATGAATGCCCTCGTTAAGAAGAAACTTCTCCAAAACTGGCGATCCTTCCTCGATCCCCTCATTCCTTCCTCCAGCGGATGATCGACTTCGAAGTTTACTTTGAGCCTGGCGAACGTACTTTCCTACGACACTTTTCAACATGGAATCGATCAATCCAAAAGTGCTTTTATTTTTTTTAGAAAGTAGAACAATTACTTCAAGCCAACATTTTGAAGCTGACTTACCCATCCAGAACGTCGCAGGCTTCGAACAGATTCTTGGCAAACGGCGTCATGAAGAATCTCCAAACCTGGAAGCCAGTTTCGCAGCGACTCATGTACTTGTGAGCCGTTGCCAAGGCGCTGATTATCCTCGCTGGCTCAGAAGTCGAATTATAGCCTGCTGACTCCAGAAATCCAACATGTTTATTAAACACGGTGGTGAAGAAACACTCCATCGCCCATCGCGTGATGTCCTCGTGAAAATTGCGAGGTACCTGTCGATCCACGATTAAAAAGTCCCTATTTACTTTAAATTAAGGCCTCTAGAGACTCACCTCATCTTGCTGGTTGCGTATTTTGTGCATCCTGTTGATCATCTCGTCGCAAGCCATGTCTATCTTGCAGAAGAAACTAGAAGTCATCTCGTTGAACTCATTCTTCACTTTCTCTCTCATCTCCAGCCACTCCGCACCTTGCCTGAAGAACTCTCGATATGGAGCATGGCAATTAACCGCAAGAAATTAACTTAATGTATTTTAGGAGGCTCAGAATGATATACAAACAGATAGATGTCTACTAACAGCGAAAACGGCCCAGCGAGGCGGTACTTGCGATAGTGCAAACGATAGTGCTGCAGAATATCAATGCCACTGCGAATGGGAGCATCCCCTTCTTGTTTTAAGACCTCAGCTATGTGTTCAGGCCTGTGAAAATCGAGGAATACATCAAGGTCCTTTGGAAAACGTTACTCGAGAAAATCTTACCTATGGATCATAACGATATCTCCGGAGAGAGGTCCATTGATCCTCACGATGCAACCGTACTCGTTGAATAAATACTTTAATGGCGTGACGTTGCGGTTCCACGTCAATCGACCTGAAAACGAGTCATTTCGGGTATAATGAAACCATCTCCCTTCGTGGGAACAGTGATACATTCTACGTGGTTCGTTTCAAAGAATCTGCTAATGTCGATTTACGCGCGACTCTATTTTCGTTACAATATCATGACGTATCGGGGAGCGCGTGATCAGAAACCCGAAGACTCAGCAACGCCTCGTGTCCAGTACGTTTATCCATGATTCGCTTCGTAATAATACTAATAATAGTATGATGTGTAAGCGTTTTTGGTACTTCAAGCCAATGCTTTGCATTCATTGTTTCATTTCCAACATTAATACGAGCCTTTCAGTTACCAATAAAGGTTACACTTCGTTTACTTCAAAAAACAAATCTTCTAACGAGAGGGTCTTTGAGTTTCGACCTATTGGTACTTCAACAGATCGTACCCTGAGTGAATCTGTTGATTAGCAGACTGGAAAACAGTTGCGTACCGAGGAGCGGCACGTATTTCCAATACTTCTCCCAGATCTTCAGAAAGGCGGGTCCAGGAACCTCTTCGAAGGGTAATGGCGACCTTTCAGCGACGATCTGCTGTTCGATCTTCGCCGTGGACACCTCGAAGGCGGATGAAACATCCGTGGAATCCGTATCCAACAGGGGAATCGAGTCCGCGCGCGTCAAAGGCTCGGCGATGACGGATGCTTGGCTTTGAGTCATGGACGCGGCTGAAATATTATTAAAAATTCAATCCTTCTATCATCAACCGTCACTTTTCTTTCGATATAAAAGATTAATTGGCCACTACTTCGCTAAAGCATTTTCTATAACTTCGCAAAATAAATTGATGGACACGTCAGAGGAAATGCTTTGGTGACTTTTACTCCGAACTTTACTTTTGAATTGTACTCACAGATTATGTCCGAGGCATTGATATTGAGGCATTTCTGGCTCTCTGTTGTCGACAGAGGCTTCGTCGCCTTTATCACCGAGTACCGACGGGAGAACGACGAGATTTTTGGCAGCAAACGATGCATCGCTACTGAAGTTAATTATTATCTAGTCCTCGACTGTGAGTCATTAGTGCCAATGAATTTATATTTCACGCAGTTTTTGTTCGTAAAAGAGTAAATGTCGAGTCAGTTATTCAGTTGCCTTGGTAGCAGATGGAAACATTTGAAGGAGCGCATTCAAATTCACGTCGTAACGTATATTATACGAAGATCTGCTATATACTATATAGAAAGTTTATTTATCGTACAAACTTATCCTCGTAAATTACAAACTAGACCCGTATCGGTTATCGTTAATGTACACTCCAGAGTTCACACGTCGACTTCGATCTCGACGTCCTCTTCGTCCGAAACAACCTTCTCTGTGGTCGTGTTCCTTAAATTATCCTTCGTTATTTTTTTAGACAACTCCTTCACCTCAGGATTCGTCGAGGAAGCGTTCTCGCTCTCCTTCGTGTGCCGCCACTTCATTCGTCGGTTTTGAAACCAAACCTTCACCTGAAACAGTTGGAAAGCTTTTATGAAAAATGATAATTCATTTATAATTACTTTGAATTGTTACCTGTGCATCTGTCAGACCCAGAGTAGCAGCGAGCTGCCTCCTGTCTGGCTTGGTTATGTATTTTTGCAAGGAGAATCTTCTCTCCAACCCTTTTCGCTGCAAGGAACTGAATACTGCCCTCGACCACGACCTTTTTCTTCTAGTATTGGGTTCCGGTTGGCTGGTTGGTGTCGTTGTGGAAGTTATAGGAGCTTTATTGAAAGAATATATCTGTTCGAGCGTTTAATTAGATAAAAATGTAGCTATTAAATTGCTATATCGTCGTTTTATATATATCAACCATTCGAATAAAATTTCTCCCATCTCTCAGTTGATACATGGGTTTTGTCTATAAAGCATAACCCAAGGGTATACGTCGCGATGCACGGGGTGGAGATCATAAATCAGAGGGAGACGTGACATGATGTAAACGGTAGTCGAAACTCTTAAGCCGGACGGGTGTCTGTTTCAACAGATCCTAGCACGAACAAGAGGCCCCCGCGATTGGGTACTTCTGGCTGATTTACAACCCTACAGAATGTATACAACATGTGTACGAATTTAAACAGTGCGGTTCTCTCTCCGGTTGGTACGGTCCTCCGAATGAATTGGACGACCAGTAGGATCATAGTTATTTCGGGAACACTATGCTGCTCTTTGAAGGTGCAACTTCGATTGGCGAATCCTTGCGTTCTTCGCCAACTAAATCAATTCTAGGCTCGCGTTGAATTATGACGATCGATCCAAAAGAGGCCTCGAAATGTTTATAAGAGCTGCGTGTGAAAAATAACGTTGGAATCTGAATTATTTGAAATAATTTTTAAAACAATTGACAATTGACTTCATATATCATTTGTTATACACGTTTGAGTAACGGAACTATACAACTGGTCAGTTGTACGAATTCTATTATCGAGAGTTGTTTCGGAATTCTCTGTGGAAGATCATTAAGGACATTTAATTCTCGTAATTGATATTTTATAGCATCTGGGGGTTTCACGAGCCATGTTGAAACGGTAGTCGAAGTTTCCGACTTTTAACTAACGGGGGAAGGGTCGCGACGAAACCGCTGTTTAGATCGCGCGTAAACGAATGGTGGCACTTAAGATGTCGTTTAAACACGGACAGGAAACACGAGAATACACTGGCGCGTAAATATTTTGCCCTACTTGCTGCCGAGTATTCGAGAGACAAGACAGTGGCCCATATGGTCGCATTTGTTAATGACGCAACGTTCGTTTCACCAGCGTAGCTTCTCGCGATGATTTCCGCTAAAGAGATCTAAACGCTCTCGAACTGGGGGGTCTCTAAATTATCGATTAGACCGAACGATGAAACGATCTGTCTACGAAGCAAAGAACAGCTTCCTCCAGCAGTGAATCCGTAGATACGAATTATGTGTACCGTTTCTCATTCTTGAATCGTTACTAAACGAACCGATCCGTGATATTTTTTTCATTAGTGGGCTATTACTCGTTTAAATAAAAGTCGAAGTCTTACCTCGAGGGACAGGTCGTAGAGGTGCTGGTCGATAGATGTTTCCATAATTTTCGATGATTCCGTTTCCGTGATTGTTGTTACCATAATTGCCGAGAATCGTCGTTTGACCGTACAGAGGTCTAGGGCACATTCGAAGGCCTTCACACCTGACGCAACCTCCGGGGCAGGGACACCGTACGGTAGAAAATTGAACAGGAAGTGGCCTGAGCACATCTTTGGAACGCACGATCTTACTCAAAAGTCGTCCATAAGAATGAGAAATACAGAGTGTCCCACTGGAAACTAGCCAACTAATTATAGAGCAAGTATTACCTTTCTATATCATTTCTACGGTAAGCAATGAAATAATTAAACGGTCTGTTTAAAGTGGTACATTCTGTATAAAAAATATCCTAAGCACGTTTTATTATTTGGTTTTCTTTGCACTCTTTAACGTTTTTTTTTTTTTTTTTTTGAATGCTAACAAGTCAGGGATTTAAACAATCGATTCCAACGTCCTCACCTGTCTTCTTCGAAGAAATTTCGTCCGAAAGAATGCGTTCCACTCCGAACTTCAATTGCTTCGAATAGTTTATTCCATCCACAACACGGGTTTTGATTTCGTTCATTTTTGACACTTAATCAAATTCACTTCTAATTATTCTAATCTTGTTAAATTAGACTTCGTCTGTTTCACCAGACAATTTTAAACGATCACAACATTTTAACAGATCAATTTCTCACGAGCACGTATCACTCGTTCTCACTGTTTGTTGCATGATCAAAACCAACAACTATCCGCCAAAAGTAGACACGGTATTTTCGATGAAAATTTTATAGTCGACCGTCATCGAACTAGAGATAACGAGGACGTAAGTCACCGAAGTCGACGAAGATAATTAGCTGCTGTAGAATGACTTTCACGGAAGTGCATAAGGATGAATGAGCGAAGGTATTCCTGCCATCTTCAGAGCAGATTTTGGTTTAAAAAAAAATCATCGGAGCTGCTTGCTATTTCGACCGTAGGATTGGTCCGCCCAGATGCTGTAGGCGTGTCTCTCAGAAGATTGGTCCCTGAAGGATGATGTGTCTAATGCCAAGCTTGCCTGCCACCATGGAGCGTACTAAACATTCCACTCCCCGAGTTTTTTTATTAAGTAAATATTATAAAACGTACCCAACCGCGTAAAACATTATGAAATCAAATAAACACTCGTTAAATTTATGTCCAAATTTATACACGAGAACCTTGGCAAATATCGCGTGGACGAAAAATAAGTACAATCCAATTTTAATTTACTAAATTTTAATGTAATCGATTCTTACTTTTTTTTACGTACTCGTTTCTTTTTGTTGTACTACGCGTTAGTCGATTTAAAGCGAAAATAATAAGCTTCCTGTAAGTTTCTTTATATTTTATTGTATCGTGTAACGTTTAAATACTCCGTCACCTCGCAGGTAATGCATTAAATGTATTATTTAGAGACAATTTCATTCTGGTAACCATTAAAAGTGTTTATACAGAATAAGCATCACCGCGGAACTTGCGAGTCCATCTTTGAATTAGCAACGATACGAGTTAACGAAAAAGGCGGTATAAGGATGAAGTTTGAGAAAAAATGCTACTCAGGCTATACATATCCGTAGAATAATAGCATAGAGACGTATGGCCGATGATATCTCTGGAAGCCATATGGTTATCTTTGCATGCAGACTTTCGGAGTATACAGTCACTTAGGTGTTTATTTGGACAGCCATGTTTGAAGCAGCCTCTCTACCCACACGCTAAGAATATTCTTCGGGATATGTACACACCGCGATCCTCTATTCGATTTTATTAGGTTTTAGGATTTTCGAGAGTCCGCTGGATCATGATAATCGAACTTCTAATTGAGTCCGACGATCGCGACTCGGCATTTTTTGTCGCGGCCATTTTCGGATCACGCGCTGATCGATTTACAAATTCTCTTCGTTCCTCCAGTACGGCAAAGAAATAAGACTTATGTTAAAATTATTTCATGCCGTTATGGATTAATTAATTTCAGTATCGACATGAAATCAAACTTTATTTGATCATTTGTTAAGATAAACTTTGCCTAGGGGTGTAATAATAATATCTGTGAGCATTGTCGACGATTTGGCTACGCTTCAGCTCTGGTCAGAATTTAGAACCAAAGTATTTTAGTTTTTAAATCACGAATACGTTACAATCGTGCTGGTAAATCTTATCGACTAAGTCTGATTCGATTCCAATATTGAAATTAATTATCGACAATCATCAATTCCTAAACAAAATAATTAATTATACAACGCGTAAGTTCGCGACAGCATGATCATTCCCTGATAAAGTTTCTCGATCTCGAAGTCGTTCTCCGCTGGATCGAAGATCAGGACGCTCCTCTTGGGACGATTGTAGGCCTGCAGAGCTTGCAGGTTCTGAAACACAGACGCGTGGGATTCGATAACGATCCGATTACCTCGAATCCTGGCATTCTCGCGATTTCGAGAAAACGACGTAATTTTGGACGCGATCCCAGCGGCGCCGCTCGTCTCGATTCGGGTTTGTTTTACTTTCTCGGCTGTTATTGAACGCAGTGGAGGGGAAGCATCGCTGTCGGTCAAAATTTTGCGTATCACGACGTTTTGAAAGACAGCGAGCTCAGAAATTTGAAAATAGAGTTTACTGAATTGTAGGGGTATGCATTTGTTTATGTGGAGGTTTAGTAGAAAATTCGGATCGCACATTTTCCAATCGACTCACCGAGAGCACTATGACGTTTCCATTGCCGGTATTTCCTGAGTTTCGACGAATAGCTGTTATTATGAGAGTGAGCAAATAGCCGCCGAAAGCCAGGAACGAAAGCGCCGTGACTGCCAGCTGAAAGATCTTCGAGATCTTCGTGTCCTTTCCCTTCTCTTCCCAGTACTCCTCGTATCGCCTCATTGGCTTTTTATTCAACCCCTTCAAGGGAAGGGCCATTGGCAGCGACAAGGACAATGTCCTGCTCGACACGTCGAATGACTCTTCGTCATCCTCCATGAAATCTGTGCATTATAAATGCAATTTGTGTGATGCACAATTGATTCAAAATTGATTCAATGTTGAATCAACTAAAATAATCTCAGAAACATTATTTTTCTACCTTTCTCGTCCACGAAGGAAGACTTTATTCGGATCAATTCGGTCATCGGCAGTTCGCTCAGACCGCGAATCTCGTCTGCGTATAAAAATGTCTGATTTCCAGACGCAGCTTCCAAACACGAAAACAGCAATAAAATAGAAGTAACGGCAACAAGCGCGTTGAAGTTCCTGAAACCGAAGCGTCGGAAGCGTTCCGTAAACCTATCATTGGAACGAAAGATTCTTCATACTATGCAATCCTTTCCTTAATATTTTACATGTATTACAATGCTTGTATGCTAATGCTTGTATTACATATTGTTTATGTTATTTTAAAATTTTTACAAACAAGAGGATACCGATTAGATTTATGTAATACGTATATTGCTACTTACTCGGTCGCCATGATCGACAGTGCTTCACCGATCACCAAAAACAATCTTAACGTAGATTCGCTAAACTCGTCGGTGAATACTGTAATTATGATTGTGGTAAAGTACAAGAAGCGTTTCTTGTCTGGACAAAAGTTCGTTTTGTACTAATTCAGGGTACAACTGTCCCCCGAATCACAAGATCTCGGTTCTCGTGCTTGGTCGACAAAGCGAGAAGAGTCGCGATCGTCGACCAGTCACCACGCTGTGAATCAGGAGCGGAAACATTAGAACTCAGCAGGGTGGAAATATGCAATTAACATCCGTTACGAGCAACTCGAGTGCGATTTTTCAGTGTTACTCTATAGTTTGTCGTGTCATCATGCAGAAATCTCTGTGCATCATCTGCGTCTACGTTGTAGCGAGTTGTGCTGCAACCTTGCCGGAGAAAAACGATGGTGGGTCAGAGGAAAATAATAATAATTCAAGTATCATCGTGCTTGTATTTAAATAATGATCATTCAGGTGTCCTGGACAAGATTAAGGTGGGCCTGGAGTACGCCACGAATTATTTGGAGACTGCGAAAGACATCGCCGATTTGGTAGCCAGGAGTTTGGGTCGTAAGCAGAAAGAGAAGCTTGGAGAAGACAGCGACACGAAGGAGAAAGGAAGTTTCTTGCCCTCTGGCATCATGTCAGCGTTTTTCCGGCTGGTTGGGCTCGACTCGCAGAAAGTTACAGCGATCGCCGTGAACAGTGTCATATTCCTCGCGCAAATGGCGAGTACATGCTTGAAAATGTATGCGTAACGAACTATATTTATTTTCTTCGTGCACGTTTATAGATAAGTTCGATGTTCGGGTTGAATCCTCCAAAGGGAAACATCGCGAGGGATTTAGACGACGAGGACGAAGCTTCGTCCTGGAATCCTGCAAACATAATCATGGAGAGCAAGAACGAGAGAGTGAGTTATAGACAAAATAAGATACTTGATTCGATTAGAAGATATTTGAGTAAATCGAAGTAGTTTGGTATTCGATAATGAGATCTTTTGATGTTTCAAGATACAAAAGTTGATCGAGCAGGCGCACGACGAGAATCTGCCCAGCGAGTTGATCGAAAGGGTGGACGGTGTCGATTCTGCCTGCATCAGATTGTTGCTGTGCAAAACATCGCCGGTGATTAGAGCAGCCCAGAGCTTCCTGAAGAACAAAACTCGTAGCAAATCTCGACGAATGACATCATGGCTGCCCAGCAGAGACGAATTCGAGGAAAACAGCGATCACTGCGAAAACACGCACACTGATTGCAGTTTATTTGCGTAGGGCCATGGTTTATTTAACATTATTCGCTGGCAGGTTGTCAAGTACGTGTCAACGATGTTCGAGAAACATCTGAGGAGAGTTAAAATTAATCTATATAATTACTTTCATTGCTTTGTCTGTCGGAAATGTGACAAATAAGAGGCAGAGCACTCGTTTGTATAGCATATATATATTTGCATCCATACAAATATATACTACATATATTACAGAATATACAAGGTACATACTCCAAAAATTAATTTACTGAATCTCGAATGTCGTAATACCTCCCGTATAGTGCGCGTACGCGTCGACGAACGAAAAAAGAAAAAGCAGAGTGAATCGCGATGCAAATCCTCTCAAAGTATGTATCGTTCATTTAAATAAATTCCGCCGAATGAAGTTTGGCCGTACGCTTCACGCTTCCGCCATCGCCAGGATGGCTGCACGAGTTTTTCGAATAAAATTATTTCGCTCCTTGTCAGACAAACCTCACAAACAATGTGTCACCCATCTTCGCCATCGTGTTCCGCGAAACTCGTTGTGCGAGGAACTTGATATCAAGTGACGTAACAAAACAACGCAATCGAGTCGTAAAATGGATTCTCGCTATTGCACTATGCGCGAAGCACCATTCGAACAGTCGACGAAACAAACGGAGGGAATGTCGAACGTAACACCCTAATCGGAAATGGGCAATATTCTTAGCTAGATAAAAACTCTGATAACAAGAGAAAGGTAAACGACATCTTACGCGTTACTGCTTCCATAAAAATTGGAACGAATAAAAACTTATTTAATTAACACTTCAATTAAATGCGCTACGTTCGATTGCATTCGTCGATATATCAATCGAATAAAATTCTGCTCAGCCTCGATCGTGATACGTCGATACGTCGAACGACAAGCGTTGGCGGTACAATCGTTCACGAGGAAGATACTTGTACGATTCGCAAAGGACGGTACTAATATAAAATCTCTACGCTCTGGAACCTTCGTAGGGATTGTCGAGGACGTTCGCGAGCTCGAACGTCTCGGGGAGAGACTCTACGATTCCAAATATCGACCCAACGACTCTATTGATACATATTACTTTTTAACGGTACGATTATCGTCCTGTCCGAACATCGATCAACGTCAGGATGATCGCTAAACGGAACGTAGTCGAATGAAGTATCAAAGAGGACAGTAACAAGAAAGAAGGAACCGTTTACTTAACAACTACGTGGAAACAAGGTACATCGCAAAAGTTGCTTCGGGGGAACTTCTAGGGTATAGTTACCCGTCAAAAATTCAGTTAATTATGCGCGAGTCACAAGGGATGGAGTCCCTGACCGCCCTATACTATACATCTAGTGAGATCAGGATTATTGCGAGCTAAATGCACCGGGGTCGAAGATCGATTGAACCTCTAAAATCGTCTGGAATTGGTACGGTGGATTAATTAGTCGCCTCTGGGGAATATCGATCGAACCAGAAGCGTTTGGCATACACCGCCTGTCTACTTTCCCTGTAAATATCGTAGTACGCGTAATACGATTAAGAATGTCGATAATTATGAAATTTTGGCATTCGAGAGACATCATATCGTGGTGATCCAGAGATGGGGAAAAGTCACATCCTGATCAAGGTTTCTATTCGTATTCGAAGTATTTTGATATTATTATACTTTCTTCCATCAATGCACGTCGCGAGTAAATCCCTGTACTCTGGTTTCATTCGTTGTCTGTCGTCGAACGAAATTTTCCCCATCTCTGGTAGAGCATCGCACGCGCGCAGGAGCTTCGAGTCCCGATCAAGTGGCCGAGAAATCATCCCGTTACCTCCATCGTTCTATGCGATTGTAAAACGCGTTCAATGGCTCGCGACGATGAGTATACAAAAGCTAAGACACTCTATTTAATAAGTTTGATTCGGATTATCACATGCGTTCTGTCAAGTCGTGAGAAATGCGTGTCGTCCACTTCTCGAACCTCGAAGATCGCGCTATCGGTTTACGTCGTAGATCCCCTGCCTCAAACGTGATTCACCTTCACGCGAAATGACTCCGAGTATCTGGTAAATGTATATTATCGGTAAGTGTATAGAATATAGAGATACGTACAATTACATTCTCGTTACACTCGCGGAAAAATCGATCTCGAAAATATATATAAAGGATCAACAGACTGTCGGGGAAAGGAATCAGCGAACCGTACCGAGCCGCTTACGGACATCGAGAAAATTCGTTATTTACAGGAGAACTCTGTCGCGCCCGAAAGTTCCTTGCGTTTTCGCGCGGAATACGCGTTCCCTCGTCAATTTACATACTTTGCCATTTTCCTTAAGCCTCGTACTTCTCGACGTCAACCAGTTAGGTTAACTACGAAATCACAAAACGAGGAGTTGCTGTCCGGTACAACTCTGGAAATTCGAGGGCGAAGTTAATCACGAGAAACGCCCCTGGATTCGTTCCATGTCGAATAGATCACCCTATTCGGGATAATCGTTTCCATTGCAAGTTTCCAATTTGTTTAAAAAGTATAAAACGACAAGGTTCGCGAACATCTATTTTGTGAATAAATCCTAAAGTCATGACTTAAAATCTCTCTGTATTTGGTAAGAATTCTGAGTTTCGATTAGGCGTGGAACGGCCGAACGTTTCATCGTCGAGGAGGTTGCTCTTCCAGTGAAAGATTCAAGGAACGCCTGTGCGCGTCGCAGTCGTCGCGCCTCGACGCCCATACTTGTTCGTAAACCGGGTAACGAGACGTCGACTCTGCGCGCGTTGCAGTCTTGGTTGATGATTCAGCAAAGAGACGAACTGAACTCGTTAGGAACAAACGGAGACGAAGTTTGAGACCGGCGCAGCGGACTCTTTGGGAGCGGGTGCGCGCTTCCAGACTTATTCTAACGACGAACGTCGGAAAACTCGCTTCCAAATGATACTTCTTACAGAAACGAGCAAAATTGATGATAGAATCCAATGAACTCTATCGATAAATCACTTTTCATTTCATTTATCGATCATCCGAGTCGAACTTTGCTCGTCTCTGACTTCTAATGCGATCAATCGATCCTAGGAAAACTAATAAAGTAACGAGCTAACGTGTAACTACAAATCTACAGAATGAAAACATGACGAATATTCTACTAGTCTCATACAAAACGCATTGCTTCGAATCGTTAATGGAACGAGTCGTCAGATTTCTTCGCAAGCAGAGTCTTCAACGATGCGATACCAGTTGAGGAAGGATCGTTTGGTTGAATGATATTTGGAAACGAATTTTTCGATAGACAACGGATTGCTCTTCAGAGGGTCGCTTGGCCTGGATTGATCAGGTCGGTGTTCTCGACGCGAGCCTGTCGCAGCCAGTCTCTAAGATTCCACGTTCTCTCCATCAGATTCGAGGAGGTCTTTTCGACGGTTCCAACGCTGGTCGTGAAACCACTATTGGGTCCGTACTGGGCGATGATGTTCTGCGTGGTGGTCGTCGGTGGTTGCGCGGCTGTCAACTGGGACAGGATGTTCGACTGGATATTCGGAGTACCAAATGTCCCTGAAAGAAAGACGAACAACGTTAAGTTTAGATAGAACGATGGATCAGACACTGTTTGTCTATCTAACAATTTATACGGTTTCGAACGATCCGTTAATGAATCCTAACGACGTATGTGACATTTTCGTTTTACTAACAAAATTTGCATGGGAACCTGTTGGGTATCCAGCACATTTGCGATTTACATAAATCGTTACCTCGTAGATCAATACGTCGAGTATTTGAAACTATAAATACGTATCATGATCTATGGATATGTAAAATATCAATGAAGCATACTGTTTACGCTAATTTCCACTTGTGGAACGTGTATGATCTTCCAAGAGCATTTCGTTATTTTAAACATAGAAATACTATTATGAAATTTATTTCATGAAATAAGATAACGCAGGTGTGATTCGAAAATGAAATAATCGTAAAGTATGATAAAATGTTGTTTGAAATAGTATATTAAATAATATCGAGGAAGAAGCTTGCACGTACGGATGAAAGGAAGACGATTAAAGAATTAAGGTCTTGAACAAACGATTCGTTTGTGTTTCTACGTGCTTTCTAAATTTTTATACGAAGACGACTCGTAGTACGCGATTTAATCGAAACGCGAATGAATCGTTTGTTTCAGATTGCACTATAATGTTATTATAGATGTGCTCAGGTGTGGATGGGACCTGGAAGATTCGCAAAACCGATTTGCACCGACCTTGCACGTTGTGCGGCTGCGCAGATAGATGGTGTAAACGTAGCCATCGCAGATAGGAGTACATCAAAGTCGGCGGAGGCGGCACGTTATTGTCCTGCCGTTTATTCAGTACGCCCCAAATTTCACGTATTTCCGAGTTTAGATTTTCCAGGCTTGCGATGATTTCCGTCGACTCCTGGTAGTGATCCGGTTTGTCTGAATACGGGGGATCATGACACAAAACCGAAAATAAATACTCGAGTGAAAGGAAACTAAGGCGAACGACCGTCTTTCGCAGCCATTTCGACGAAAGCTGCGATAATCCAAAGAAACATAGAAATTCAATCTGCATAGAATACCTATACGAGCATCGTTTAAATCGATACATTTTGATTTTAGTCCTTTTCGACAAACACACGTGTTCTTGTTGTTCTGTGCAAAATATAGGGAATGCTACAAAGGACTGACTTTTGTTTTATATTACTTGTACTCATTAAATGATGTTCCTCCAAGCATTCTATCAAAAATATCTATATATCTATTATATGGGCTCAATCTAGATAAAAGATTGGAACACCTTACAACAAGAACATGTACACGATCAAAGAGAGGTAAAATCTGTTATTAAACAAATGAATTTAAACGATGTTCGCGTAGCCATTTTAGGATGATTGATTTTTCATAATAAGAAGCAGTATTCACCATTAGAATCAGAAATCAATTAGCAAGGAGTAAAATTAGGAAGCGATGAATGATTAACGAAAAAGAACGATGAGACAGCGGGTGATTCTAAGTGAGTGTGGGTTTACCGGTTCCATAGCTCACCTATGAACGTATCCGTTCCCAGATCGGTGGAGCTGAAACCGCTGCTGGCGCTGGACAGGTCGCTCAGCGTCATTTCATCGTTCTTTGTACAAGTCGCGTCGTTCTCGTTCCTTTTGGCGCTGGCCACTCTCTCTAGAGTCTGCTCCAGGTGTCTCAGGTGGATCACTTTCTCACCTAGAAGACTCCTAGTGCGGTGCAAACTCACCTCCATGTCTGACAGTTCGCGTTCCTCCTAGGAGAAATCAATCGGAACCATAAACATTGCTTTTCAAAAAATTCAATGAATCTTATACGTTAAAGAATTAAGGAATCATGGAAAAGTGTACCTAGGTATCCTAGAGTTAAAACAAATTTTCCCTCTTTTATTCTCCTTTGAACGACAGGATCCTGCCTTTAGGATCGATTGAAACCCACCCAGTATGAAATTGCTGAAGGCTGCCGTACCTGAACCAATTGCTCGAGGGTTGCCCTGGCGCTACGTTGCTTCCAAGCCCTCTGTCGCCCCTGAAAAGCGTTCTCCTGGTGTCTGAGCGCCTCCTGAGCCCTTCTCACGGAATCCCTCTCGACGTGAATTCGGTGCCGGAAGAACTCCAGCTCCGATGAGGCGTTCGCCGGTGCTAAAAAATCGAGCAGAATCCTTTTCGGTGTCATCCGACGAGCTCGCGCTCGGACTGGTCGTGGTAGCGGCGTGCGAGAAAAGAAACAACGGAAAAGGAACGAAACGGAAGAGAAGAACAGAAGCGTACGGGTTGACGGAACGAGAACGAAAAATCTGGTAGGTGCACTTACGAGCGTGTCGAGGAGCATAAGCCGTTTAGCCAAAGTAAAGTCTATAGACGCCTGGGGAATAAATGAAAAGAAACACTTTTTCAGAGTTCCAGAAAACGCTCGGAAAAAAGAAAAACTTTCGTTTCGCATCGAAAAGTATTCGGTAGCATAATCGAAGCGTTCAAGCTGTAGATATTTGACTTGTACGTTGTTGGAGTGTGTCGAAAACTACAAAGTAAACATGTGTACTCTCTTCATAACATCAACACTACGAGAAATAAATAAATTAAGAAACTGCCTGAAGACTCTCTTCAACAGTCACCTTTGTCTTGGAAAGGATAACGCAATGTGTAGGCCGTTTCGTTGCTGGGCAACTGGTCACCGAGATCTTCCAGCTTCTTCAGCTGCTTCCTGATGTTCTCGACCGGGTTCTCAGGGTTGTTGTTGTTATTGTTCCCAGCATTCGAGCTGGCGCTGGCCCGAGCAGCGCTGGTGGTCTTTTTGCTGAAATTCTTCTTCTTCTTCATCATGTTGGCGTTCGTCTCGCTGGCGGTTGTCGTGTCGTCGGACTCGAATCGAGCTGCGGTCTTCGCGACAGCCGCGACGGCGGTCTTCTGAAACTCCGAGCTGACCTTCGGAGGGTTCGAGTCCTCTAGCTCGCGATGGCTCTCCGGTTGCTCGCTCCCAGACTGAGCCTCGTGCCCCTTGGCGTTCGTCGTCACTGAGCTCGAGCGCGTGTTCCTCACCGGGGTGCTGCGAGCACGATTTAAGGCCTATAGCCAGACATTAAGGCGAATCGCATGAGCGTGAGGGAGTACCTTCACAGTTTACTCTTCCATGATTTTACGAGTAACGTTGGGGACGATTTCATTTCAAAGGCTACTCGAACACTGGAGCATCCTCAGGTTTGTGTTTCTTTAGATTTATAAAAAAAAAATGTGAAAGGAACGCGGTGTGTGTATGTAATATTTTTGGAAAATTTGTATCCCTAAGGTGTTCTCGATATGGAGGACATCACAAGTGCATGGAAGGTGTTCCGAAGAAGCTAGGAATAATGTGTTTGCGATAACGTGTGAGTTTGAGAAAATTTCAGGACTGAATTGCTTAGTTCGATGGGGTTGAAAAGTACCCGACTCTGGTCGTGAGGAAACACAGATTACACAATGGTACACAATTCGCGTGCTCGGTTCAGTTACGGAGTGTCACCGACTGTGAAGGTACTTGGGATTGTGACGAAGTAAATGAGTGTGCAAGAACTTAACGTTAGTACATTTAACACGAAAATAAAGGCATGCTTCCACTTCGTTCAAAAGGATCGTGTTCAAGTACACACGAATGCAATTCAGCGTGTCAACCATTTGCAATTTGAAACTCGTTCAAGGTTCGACGAAGAAGCTAGACAATGTGTCTGTTGCACAAAATTGCAAACGGTTGACAGCGATAAGAACTCGAAGAAACAAGAAGATGAGGCTGGACTCACTTTTGTTCCGATGACTCGGTCCTGTCGGTTCTCGTCCTCGTGGACGTCGACCTCTCGGTCTCCGAGGCCGTGGTGTATCCCGCCTTCCTCCTGATCCTCCTCTCGACAACTAGACGAACTTCGCCCTTCAGCTTCCTGTACTTCTCTTTCAGCGCCGTATACTTGTCCTGCAGCAGTCGGTTCTCGGACCTCATCTTCTCGATGTCCACGCTCTCTTGCTGAACCGTTTGTTCCACCAGTTTCTGCGCCTTTTTCTCCGCGTCCCTCGAGAAGTCAGATCGAATCTCCTCTAAACGCTGCTTGTACATCTGCCGCGTGAGACCCTCCTGAAATGCCAGCAGACAAATTCCCTTCAGGGCTTACGCAACCTTGACGGCGGCGAAACACATCATACATTTACGAATTTTTCTTGGTAACGCTACACGCCTGACCAAGCTTTGACAAAATATTTTTTGTGCTGATATTGCGTTGCTCCTGATCTGGATGAAGCAATAATTATTTATGGTACCTCCTATTGTATGTACAACCCCTCGTACATCGACACCTGCATACAGACTATCACTCTAGGCGCCATGTATATTTCATAAATGCAAATTTTATAACAACACCATTTTAAAATCATTTTTTAGGTTACTATCGTTTCAAATAAAATAAGATTTTGATTTTTTTTCGCCGCAAAGGTGGCATAACCCCTTCAGGAGCCTCTGCCTGGATCGCGTTTGGTCCCTCCGATCCTCTTCCACGAGACAATCCAACATAACGAACCTCGTAAATACTAGTCTAAGCAGTCTACGTGTATCGTGTGTGTCGAGGAAGAAGTATACATGTACTGATGCATTTTGTGACGTTTCGCAGTGACGATTTATTGTTCTTAAAATATAATCGCTTAGAGTACAACAATTCCAGGAGTAACTCTCTTAAAGCTATTCCGCTAAGGCGATCGTCTGGACGGCATTACACAATCGTGAACGAAACCGAGAAAACGAATGACGAATCTATTAACACCCGGAGGAACTTGGCCTGCAGTTTTATTGCGTTCGCTGAAAGAAATCGCGCTTGACGCGATATGGCTGGAAGCTTGCGATAGAACGCCTCGGGTGCGAGTTAACTACGAGTAGTTATTGCGTAACGCCAATCGCTCGTGTCGCGCACGTAACCTAGTTTCCTTAAACAACGGTGGACATTGAATTGGAGGTAGGATTTTAAACAGAATTGGAAACGTGTTGAAAATGATCTGGTAACCTGGATCAATAAAACCTCTACGATAATCGTTGTTCATTCGCAATCAACATTCCAGGCGTCGAGAAGTTTCGTTGATCGAGATTAGCAAACGATTCGCGACATATTTCCAACTTCCATTGGTAGACAGAACTGCAAAATAAGAAAAAACGACTACCCACTGTGTTTATTTCAAACAGAATGTTGTCAGATTCGATGTGGAATCGACTGTTGGGCAACAATCTCGTACGCAGTCTCGGGTACTCAAAGTAATAGGCATCGTCAGGTACTCACGTCCATTCTAAAATCGCGTAGAATCTCTGCCAAACATTTCTCGTGATCTTCCGTAATTTTCGTTATTTTCTCCCTCTGCTGGGTCCGCAGCTCGGCACGCAGTTCGTCGAACTCCTTTTCCAGTTCCTTTTTCAAGGCCTCGATCTTCTCCGTGTGCTGCTTGGTCAGCTCCAGCTCGCTCAGTTTCGCCAGCTTTTCCTCCCCCAAGTCGCGCTCGTGCTCGTTCTCCAATTTACCCATTTCCTGGTTCCTCAGCTCCAGCAACTCCCTCTTCCTCTCGTCGAGTTCCGTTTTTAAGTTCGCCAAGATTTCCTGCCTCTCTTTCTCGTAGCAGATTTCCAGCTCGGCTTTCACCTTCTTCAGGTTCTCCAACCTCGCCTCGTCCATTTCAGCGATCAGCCTCTGAATCTCTCGTTCCTCCTGGAAAACGATCAAGGATTCAGTTAAACGCGAAAAGCACCTCAACGAGCACGTAAAGCCTAACGTGGAGTACTACCTTCTCAGCCATTTCGCGTTTCAGGTCTTCCAGTCTGTCGTTCAGGTTCTCCTCCAGCAGTTTCTTCTGCTCCAAGAAGTTCTCCTCCAACTCCTTCCTCGTCAGCTCCAGCTTGTCGTCGAACTCCCTCTTCAGCACCTCGATGTCCTCCTGATGCTCTTTGCTGAGCTTCGCCTTCACTTCGTTCATATTCGTCGTTTCGCAGTTGTGCCTCCTCAGAAGCTCCAGCTCTTGCTGGATCCTGGACAAGTCGGAGGTGTCGTCGTCGACCGTTTGCCTCTCCTTGGAGAAACGTATCGCCGATTTTTTAGGTTTCTCCATCCTCGACTTGTTCCTCCGAAACTCGTCGGAATCGCTACTCCTGGCGACGCTGCAGTCGGTCTCGCTCTTTGAAACCAGGTCGATGTTTTTCACCTTGTCGAACTTGCTGGGCGGTACGAAGTCCAAGCTGCTCTCCCTCGACACGCTATCTCTGGCCATTTGGGTGCGATGCTCGCTTTCGGAGACGTTCTGCACGACGAAACGCCTTCCAACGACCTTGCCGTTACTTTTCGACGGCTCTGCCTTGTCCGACGACGAACTCTTCCGAGTGTCTTCTTCGACCTTGCTCTCAGAGTCCTCTTTGTTCTCATCGTCGAGGCTTTGGGAACTCGACCTCTGGGAGGATAGAATCGAAGCGACTTTGCTCAACATCGTCGAGGACATTTGTACGTTTTGCTCCTCCGATTCGGACTCCCACTCATCCTCGGACCCTGAGTAGGTGAACTTGATGTCCGCTTCTTTTTCTATGTCGAACCGAACGCTTTTCCGCTCTTCGTCCGCTGGCCTGTCGTCTGTTAGGAAGTAATGAAAGTTAATAAATTGGGGGTTTCTATACAATAATTAAAATGCTTAAGTACCGAGGTGGTCGTGCCAGGGTTCGTTACTTTTGTATTAGACATTTCTATAATTTAATTCCTTCGAAGATGGCCTTAGGCAAAAGTACAAATAAGCTGCTTGCTAGGACTACGGACTAATTAAGTAATGAAAAATTATTCGTTAAAACGATGAGATATATTCCAACTAAGCCCTACTCAGCACAGTGACCTTAATCCTCTTACCATCTTCCGATTGTTTCTCCCTGAGGATCGATTTCAACCTGTCCCCGCCAACGCTGACGATCTCGTCAGGAATCGCCACGGTTTTGAAATCTTCCAGTTTGCCGGTCTCCTGGATAGGAGTGGTGTCTCTGCTCTTGTTGCTCTTCAGAAACATAGTTCCCCCGCCGCTGAGCGTGAGTTCTTTTTGTTGGCCAAACTGACTGGGATGCTTTTCCTTGTCGAACTTATCCGACTTCTCTGACCTGGCTAACGTGGTAACGCTGAGCTTGTCGATGTCGATAATATTCTCCTCGGAGCTAAACTTGCTGGATAGCTGTTCCCAGTCTTTCTCGTGACGCGGACTGAGGGATTCCGATCTCTTCAACACCTCTTTCAGATCGAGCTCGTCCACTGGAGTCGTAGGCGTGGTTGTCGGCGTGGCTGACACAGGTGGCACCGTTTCCAACAGCTTCGGGCACTCGTAGAAACGAGGATCTTGGAACCTGAGGTTGGTGTAGTCTCTGGCGGCTCTGTCTGTCGCCAGAGGATTGTCTAACTTGAAATGTTGCCTCTCCTGGCTATGGTGGTCCTTCCTCCTGGCACCCTCGCCTTTATCTAGTTTCTTCAAGGGAGTTAACTTGGTGGGAATTCTAGTGGGAGGTGGAATCGCCTTGGTAGCTTTGCTCGCGTCCTTCGAGGATGTTTCCTTGGGCAGAGTCGCCTCCTCGTGGGACTCGAGATCCTTGGCTGTCGTTTTCGAGTCCTCCTCTGGAGATGAAAAAGCAAAGTGTAGCTGTCGATCGAGATTGGGGGATTCGAAAGAGGGGAAGCGTCGACGCTTGCTCGGGGGATCAGAGCATTGCACGCTAAACTTTTCCTCGTCGAACCGTCGAGCGAAAAGAGGTGTCAACGTTCCCTCGAGTGCAAGTCAACGACTGTTTTCCTCTCCTTTCCTCTTTTTCGTTTTTTTCTTATACTACAGATACGAGCGAGACGGCAATGAAACGGATAAGAAAACACGCTTAGAAGACTGGGAAAACGCGATACCGATTATTGTACGTATCAGCGACGAGGAGCTCTTCACGTCGCGTATAAAACTGTGTTTCTTCTTTTTCGAAACGCCTTTCACAACCACAGCACTCGAGACCCTCTTTCAATTCTTTTCACGATCGAACGTTTCTGCAACTAAATTGTTATTCCTGGATTCGTTGATTCGTCAAAGCCTCTCCTAAAAAAAGTGATTTCTATCGTACGAATAACCGGATGCAATACCGATGTATTATAGCGTATAATAAGCTCTTCATAAGGCTAGGTCCATTTATAAAAAGATAAATAGAACAGGTTCTCGACCTTAACGGTTATCTTCAGATAGAACGTGAGTTATTTGTCTATCTGTAAAAAGTAATACGGTCGTCGAATTTGTACAAATAATATTTCTGTTATACGTGGCAAGTCTGTTAGAAACAGTATCTGAACTGGCAAATTTAGTCGGAGACAGGAAGTTCCCGAGATGCAAAGTTGCCAAAGATATTCTTTGCTAGATAAAAGGACTACAGAAACGTTTCAAAGTCGTCGAAATCTGGCGAGGACCACCACCGATGTTTATCTACGCGAAGAAATCCTCAAAAACTATACTCTAGCAAAAACAACCAAGAAACATTGTATCTTCGAGATCGTGGAATTTCATCCGATTTTGTAATAACTCTCCGATGCACATGACTCTTATACTTAGCGCCAAAATTCCGAGTAACAAATCTTCGATTATTATTACACGCGTTCTCGCGTGGTGCCAAATATGAAATGGAATATAGAATTGTATCCTTCATATTTCATTCTGAAAGTTTACCGTATATCCCTCGTTCTGAGAATTTGCAGATCCCAGCTCGAGAAGGATTGGTCAAAGCGATTTTCACACGAGCTCGTTACGGTTTCAGTGCCAAAAGGTCGTCGAGACGTTTCCGCGTGGTTCGTAATCAGGTGAAAACACCGATGCGGTCGCGTGATTATTGATTCATCGCTCCATTTTCATTTAAATCGCGTCATCAACGTCGGAGTTGGACCGACGAAGAACGTCGCTTCATCAACGATTCGCATTCGATACGACGACGCGATAATTGGACGGATCCTCGTTTCGAGCGACTATTACGTACTTTCACGAGCGAGTGCACTGGCACGTGAGTGCCTTAACGAATGTGTCGCACGCTGGCGAGCGGCACGAAAGTGTTTCAAGGGCTCTCAGACGAGCGCCGTCCACGCGTCGGTGTATCCGATCGAGGAAATTGACCGACAAATTCGACGGTGTGTAACTTCGTTGCACTCGAAACGCGTTCAACGAGCGTGTTCTTCAATCCTTTCGATAGGACAGAGGTCGAGTGAAAAACGTCTATGCAGCACGGGGTCTACAAGCACGGAGCTGCGCGAACGCCACGGGGCGTCCTCGTGTTCAGCCAGGGACTCGATGTTCCTTTGAGGATTGAAGCACCCTTCCATCTTTATAGAAGTAGAGCCTACGCAAATATATTTACTTCGTTAAAGTTTTAGTTATGCTGAAAATATACGTCTGACGTCCATACTGCTTATCGAATGTATTCATGAATGAGTGTATCAAAATACTGACACGTGGTCGTATCGATTTAGAAAAATATCGGTTTTGCCGATACTATTATCGGTACGCATACTCTTTTACGACCCACTGTTTCTCCAGTGTATTTATAAACACTGTGACTATGCGATATTAGTATGCGTGTACATTCACGATGTTGGCTTTGGGGCTGTGTGTCACTCAGGGTATTTCAGAAATAAATGGCCTAACTTTTGAAATTTTCTACTCAACTTGAGGTCAGAAAAAAAGTGAGTAAGAAGTCAGATAAAAAGTGGAAATAGTTCTAGTTCAAGTTAGAGTAGAATTTTGTAAAACTGTGTAAAAAGTTTATAAAGGTTCTTGGCATGTACGCTACCCTGTCACCTTTTACATTTGGATACATTCGACTACATCTACTGCAACTATATGCCTTCTATTTTTGCATGCGTTTGACTACAAATAGAGTAACTGTTTGCCTTTTATTTTTAGGTCCATACGATCACAGGTACTGCAACCACTCGCTACAAACGAAGATTAACCGAGTCGTATTTATCGCGCAAATATGCACTAATAACAGAACAGAGTAACGAGAAATCCCGTGAAATTAGCGTTAATGGAAATGCAAAGGTCGCCGCTCAACGATGAAAAAAAAAATGCTAGCATTAAATTTAACCTTGCGAAACGTAAACTAGTATTACACTTATATGCAGTGGACAATACAGCACTTTAAAAAAACACGCAGAACAACCCAGCAATCGAGAGGAACGTTGCAATGCGATAACAATGGTTATGGAAATGCGCAGCAGAATTTGAATGAGGTGTCTAAAAGTGCTCCGCATATCAAAGAGAAAATTTATTTCGCGTTCAAGGCGAGTAGAGTTCCCAAAGTTTGACCAATATAGTTCTGCGGAACAATTGGTACAATGCAATTTATTGCAATGCTATGCATCGCTTTATCGGATTAAAACGATCGATGGTGATTACAACCAGATTGATCTTGTTCGTTTTGATTTGTTTTTAGAAACAATCGATCACTTCAACAAAAATATCTCAGAATTAAATTGGGATGGTATTTTTCAAAGTTCGTCGTATTTGTTGGGCAAAAGCGTCTCCCGCGCGAGATAAGGTTGACATTATCGTAATCGGTGCACGTTCGCGTAAATAACAATACGGCCGCTTTCGATATTCTTCATGGATCGTTTCACGTGAAAGCAGACACAATTTGAAGCAACATACTATGACCAGAACCTACTAAAAATTCTCAAAGATCATTCTTTTGAAATAGATATCATTCAGTTTCTAATTCGTCAATTATTAAAATATTTGAAAATCCTTTAAAATTACGTTCAATTATCGCAATGGTCTTCAACGTATTTTAATTTCAGAAAAATCCAGGAAGTTGCATTCATTGGGTTCCGATTTTCCGGTGGAAATGACCCTTGTCAATTTGCAGGCACGCGAGCGGATCGAAAGGTTGCGGAAAACCTGAATGCAGAGGTTCGCGTGGCATTACGTGTCGTTACGTAAAAAAAAAACCGAGCCAATAAGTGGAGGCCGTCTCGTTGTCGGCGGTCTGCGGTCATTGGAAAAGAAAACGAAGCGTGCTGTAATTGCACGAACTCGATGCTCCAAGGTCAAGCGCGAAAGAATATTTCCACTTTACGTAACCGATACGGAATCGGTCGCTGCGAGTGCGCGAGCTCCAACGATGTACGGTCGATTCCGCGACTGAAAGTATCAAAGAAACCGAGGGAGAAGGGGAAACGACTCAGTAAACAAGAAACGAGAACCTGCGCGAAATTTATTAACTATTTTTATCTCCTTTTTTCAAAACGAATCGAAACTTCCATCTCGGAGCTTCTCGACTTTGACATCATTTTGAGAAAACAATGTTAGAACCATGTTTATAGCATAGATTCTTCTACTTTGAATTTCATGCAAAGATGCTGCGAGGTTTTATAGGTTTCTTCATACGAATGAACATACGCAGAACAATTTCTTCTATCAATTAAAAGAAACGTGGAAGTCGCGCGACGCGCGAACGCAGGTGAAATTGGAAGACAGCGGCCAGAGTTTCGCTGAACGACCTAAAAATATAATTCATCGTTGACGAAAAGCCAGGCCGTGATTCGATTGCCAAGGGAGTCCTTGGAGTCGGTGGATCGAAGCGTGAACGCGCTAACCAGACGAGACATTAGCGTAAAACGATGCAACGCTGATGACGATCGTCGAAATTTTTGGCAATGGAGCTAGCGTTAGTAAACAGGTGTTTTCTTTAACGACGCTTGGAATAATAATTCGTGAAATTCCGAAGATTGTCATTTGTAGGATCTAGGTCCAATGGAACAATGCGCATTAGCGTGATCTGGTACAAGCATGTGCTCGTCGATTAAATGCTTCGAGCTGATGTTTGGTTTCTCCTCAGTGAAATGCTGAAAGTTAACGGATAGCGTTGATAAATTCTGCTTAGTTGAAACATATAATGAAAACGGTTACAGAGATGCTTGCACCAGACTGTAACGTTGTTCTGAATGATAACCAATGGTTTCATCGACACTTGTTTTTCTACTCGACGTACATTTCGTCGAGATAAGAATCGGGGGAAGAATTTGCGGTTGATTGACAAGATTACGATTATCTTATCTTATTTACAAACACCTGTGTCGAGAAATCACGTGGACGAAAACGAATGTTGGTCTAAATTGTTATCGAGTGAAAGCATGACGACGAGATGTCAGGCGTTGCACGTTGAAACCTAACTCGGTTCGATTCTGATGCAGAAATCGATAAAAATGTTCAACTGTTGCAAATGATAAGGCGTCAAGAAAATATTTGCGAGTCTTAACCCTTTGCACGAAACCAAGAAAAAACGAACAAAATAATAATCATGCCATTACGATTCGAGAATTCACATGTTTGTGCTTTATTTACATACAATATTCTTTACATGCATGTACAACACGCGGAAATGCGACTGCTAATAAATAGCCTGCTGCGCCAAGATAAGAAAATACTCGAAACACGTGTTACACTGCTTTCGATCTATTTACTATATTTAAAACCTATCTAGGGCAAAGTCAGTCTTTATCACGGTATTCTCTCTTACAATGACTCACAAAATTGATCAAATTCCCAAAGCAGAATTCGCTGCAGCGTCGGTGCATTCATTTGTATACATACTCTGTCGTCATAGAAGCGCCATTAAAATTATTCCCTTGACATTCATCGCAACCTACGATGTAATTGCTGGCCATTAAAAGATATGCAGTCGATTTCAGTGTACCTACCATAATTCATGCATACCGTTAGACAAGGAATCGCAAAAATGAAATGAGATCTGCTTAGCAAGAATTTTATAGAAATTCCTATAAGAGTAAAGTTTGTTACCTATGCAAGAGACAAGTATACAAAACATTTAAATATTTCTATCTATGACTTATATTTGGACCACATGCATACGTATAGATATAGCCTAACTATTTCCCTGAATAAATGTTTCTTCTATCAGTTTCTAAAATATCACAAACTCTCGACTAAGGAGGATATACAGGGTGACAGACTGATTAATATAAACATTTATCGAGGTCATTCGATAAAACGTATTTCGCACCATGATTATCCTCCTTACCACGTGACTGTCACGCTGTGCTCTTAAAAAATCCTACTATGCTTATTCGATCATCGCATGACAGGATAGCACGCACTTCGAAACAGTCGGACGAGCATTAGAACAATTCTTATCTATTTTTTATCTCTCCTACCTACTCAATCTATCAACGGACGACTATAACGACTAATCTACTGTGCAATTAACCAGTGAACCGTGTAGTAAAAATGGTAGCTCGTGCTTCTCCGTTATGTTTCACACATTTTGGTTACCGATAGCACTAGACAAGAAATTTGTATCAGTGTTTGCGAAGATTGCAAAGTGATAACGAAGAGGAATTCGTTTCGAGAAGATAGCGTATAAATAAATAGAATTATATCACATGATTCTAAATCGGATATCGACGATGTAGACACGAGTAGGTTATCGAAGAAAGCATCAGAAGTACATACTCGTATCACTCGTAAATGAGAGTAAATAAGAACGTCACTCTTATTACAGCAGTGATTCTTAACCACTGTGAAGACGAATAAATTTTGAATTTAATACCTTTCGAAACGATTACTAGAATTTAGTAGTAGAGAAAATCTCGCCTAGAACAAGCGTCGATCTAATCCTCGAGACCACCACCAAGTCACTCCCCCTTTAACCCATGTAATTCAGATCTGGTTTCATACCCACGAGCTCGACAAGGTTAAGAACCACTGTACTAGAATGACGCGACCCCCTCTAAACTACACCTCTGTCACTGGAACACGAGTGACACTGGTCGAAAAAAAAAAAATTGCTGACGGGGGAAAGTCTAACTGATCAATTTCGTGAGTCGCTGTACACGCACGTCACGACGAGAATAAACTCACGGTCCATCCGTTCGCTACACAGCAATCAAACGAAAGAAAAATGTCGATCCATCATCGTAGTTTCTATCGCAATTCCCTATCTAGCGCGTGGCGCATCATGCGAACCAAGCGCAAAGGGTTAATCCTATATTTTCCATTCAGCCGTAATGACGAGGCAATCCGTACCGACGCTCATTTGTCTGGCGTTGCCAGCCCTGGCCTGCTCGACCAGCTCCTTGTAGACGGCATCCAGGGGATGTTCCCAGGTGGTGGTTTTGGTGGAAGCCTGGTAATAATACCAGGAGCCGCTGGTCTCGTGGAAACACGGCAGCCAGCCCTTGGGCAGCGCCGCCATGAGGCCCTCGCGGGCCAAATCCAGGAGGTGCGGTTCCGCATCAGGGTCGATTCCCAACCGCCTGGCGTAGTCGAGCACCTCTGGAAAAAAGCACGCGTGCACTCCATTAGCTAATTGGAAATCGGATCTATCACGGAGGTGTTCATGGGACTAGGCTGGGTATTAATTTCCCTGGAACACGCACCGTTCGCTTCGGATGCGTGCGCGACGCTTTCACGAAGCTGCGAAACGAGGTCAAGGGTTCAACGACGAACAAAGAAATTGTCATTAGGAAAGGTTAGAGTAGGCACAAGTCCTTACTTTTACTTCAAAAGGTTTCCACTCCGCAATTAAGATCCACATCCGAGGGTAATCGATAACTCTTGTTAAATAATCATGATTTGGAGCGGAACGGTTGCTTCGGATGAAATAATTTTGCGCTCTGGTTTTGGAAAGAGTGGTAATTTTCTATTGGTGTAGAATTTTATGGGAGTGATTCAGAGTAGCTTCGGGGTAGAATTCTACCAACCATGGCATTCCCTGATGATTATTTCCATCAAGAATTCGCTTGAATTATTCCGAACAAAAGAATTCCCGACGCTTCTTGGAATTATTCTTAATCAGCGCGCGGGCCTCGTTTCGTCTTCGTTTTGCGGATCAGGGTGGCATTTTTAAATGATTCCACGGTATAAATACACCCGTCGATGAGTAACGCGAGACGATATTAATAAACTCTTGAAACAAGTGATTTCAAGGTTCCCAGCTCGGTCGTGTGTGCGATGTGTAACGATGTCTATCGATTATAGGCCAGGTGGAGCGTACACGTGGCAACGCGGAACTGTCGTTCCGGAAGAATGAGGGACGACTAGATGTCTTTACGGGCAGCTAGCATTGTACCGAGTAACAGGAAACGCGTCACGGTGCCGAGAAGAAAATCGAAATTAATTTTCTGACTCTGAGTAAATGGGAAATTTATTCGCGTGCTTCGTCACGTTAATGGATGCAGTGGCGAATGACGTGTTCTTTCATTTGCAAAAACGGGGAACCACTGACGCAGCACTATAGTTTTCCTGTTCGCTCGTGGAATCGATCTAGCTCGAGTGAAAATTATTTTTAAGTAAATCTTAAATAGTGGGAGACTATGATCAAACGTTGGAAACGAGCAGGCATCGAAGCGGTAACTCGTCGCGAAGTTTATCGGCTTTCGTGCATGCTTAATTAATTTTTCATTACCCCAACCGCTAGGGCGTACTTCGCGGACAAAGGTCCGAAAATTAGGTGCTCGAAAAGGTAACGAGAGTCAGCAATTTATCGCGACATCGATCTCGCCATTTCGTTTAATCAGCCACAACCAAAAATGATTAACGAGCTCCGACAAGTCTACGTCACGTCAGTCGTCGACGTTCCACGTACTCGTTAGAAATAATTCATTAGCCACCGAAGCTAGGAACGCGGTTTAACGATACGCGTATTTTCCGATTAACCGCGACAAGAGCTCCCATTGCCTGGGAACACGTCCGTCACGATCATCTTCGAGATATCGTTCTCAAAGTTTCTTCGCACGGAAACGACTGGAATAACGCGTAAGGTGGAGAGTTCAGTTTAAACGGGCGTTCGAATTTAGTTTCTTCGTCTCCAGTCGAAAAATGGGCAATACTTATAATTTCTTGTGATAGGAAAATTAACAAAAATTGAGATATTTAATTATTTTTACAGTGAGACTTCTTTGCATCCCGATCTCATACTTTCTACGTTGATTCTTTGAACGTCGACTTACTATCTTAAATGCGTCCTTTCGAGGCCTAAACCTTAAGAAAACTAAAAAATCGACTGTCTCCACCAAAGACACGGGGAAACCGCTTTAACGGTACGATTAACGACAAAGTAAACAGTCGCCTGGAGTCACGGAGGAGAGAGCTGAATGCTTCATGGATTCTTTGAGGAGACAACGGTCGCGTCGACAGCGCTGAAAGCAGGGGCGATTTAAAATTCCATCATGGAAGTCTTTGACAGGTGGCTCGGCGTATGGGGGTTACCCGCCACAACATCTGTCTTTCCCCTCGGTGGAGAAAATTTAGCAGCCAGTCAAAGCGTCGCGATTCAAGATTTTTGGGACACGCGATAGACTTTTGCGATGGATGATCACGCAGGATCGTAGTCCACTCTCGATTTATCACGTGACAGATTCCGTCTGCGGAATCTCAACGCTGACATGCCACCACGGGGGTGGGTTCTCGGGGCTTATGACAAAACTTTCGCCGCACTGCGGATCCTATTGATTTTCCTCGGCGCGCTAGGCTACGAGCTCACTGCTCCCGACCGAGCACGGTGTAAATAAACAAGGAAACTCACCACCGAAACCGTTCAACCCTCTGTCGCTTTATTTATAACTTTCTGTGTCCTAACACTTCCTACGTGACCACCCAATCGCCATTCACAGATCGGAATGAACTTGGCCGAGGTTGTAGTCATTTTTCTGAACTGTCACATTTATCTCGTCATCGTGAAATCAACAAACTTATTTAGTAAAATAGATTTATCTGAAATGAAACCTAGTAATCTCTCTACCACAGTTGAAAAATTAATTTCGCGGAAAAGTGACTTTTAACTCTTATTTAAGTACACCCTTCTCCTTATCTCGGCCATCATTAAAGCGTACAATCGATACGACTGCTCGTATTGCCAAACAAACTTCATTCGACTCGTTCTGTTCATCTACTGGATACACAGTTGTGTACTTATCGTTATTCGAAACATAATGCAGGTGTGTTCCTAGGACTCGGTCATCGAGAAGGAACGTCTTATTGTAGGGTGCCTGCCCGCGCCATTACCAACTCTTCCAGGTGCATGCACTTTGGCGTCAGTTGCGTTGCGCAACCGAATGCGTCCCAGTGTGACGTTTAGGAAACTCTTTCCTGAAATTACGTCAGCCTGGAATCGCTACGCTGATCTCCACTGTCACCGTATGCGTTGGACAGCCAGCACGGCGGCTGGTGACGTATCACCGAATGATCATCGATTAGCTGGTCCGTGATCCGTGCTCAGCCACCGAGGAGCACACCAAACGGAAGCGATTGACTACGGATGGTCAAGGCCACGACCTCAGGAATCACCGATAGCTCCCGAGAATCAACCCTTCGAGGAATTTCGACGCCTACGTCACGTCTTAGCCTGTGGCAGTGGTAGATTCGCGTTTCACAGGGGTAGGATGACTTTATGGTAATAGCGTTTGCTCGAAGGGTGAAAAAGGACATCAGAAGATGACAGGAAAATGGATAATGGATGGAAATTAAACAATCGTCGGTGCGTTGCTCGCGGAAAGAGAATTGTATATAGATTATAACTTTAGTAGAGAAACGGAATCGTAAGTGACGTTGGACAAGGAGTAAAGGTCACTCGAGCCTCTCAGAAACCAACTATCTACACTCTTAAAATTAATAGAAAAATTTAGCTAAAGACTATTCTTGGTTACTTCGAATCTATCATGTGTGGCTTCTAAAAGGCTCGATCTGTCATCGAGGTGAACGTTGGCCGTCTCCAATTGACAGTCGGTGCCAAGCGAAGAAAACCTCCCCGTGCTGCATCGATCGAGAGGAGGGGGGTTGGACGAAGGGTTTCGCGGCGGCCTGGAATCGAACAACTAACGGGTTCTGTCCACGTACCTTCGTTGGAGGGATGCGACGTCTCGTCGAAGACCTCCCTGCAGACGATGGTAGCAGCGCTGTCCTGAGAAATGCTCATGCTAGCGCGGGCGAGGTCGGACAGCCGTGTCCTGGCCGCAGGACCTTCACGTAACGGGTGTCACGAGGACGCGCCAGCACACGGGAGAATCGCGCGGGCCTGTGCCCGTCATTTTCCGTCACCGACGACGCGTGCACGCGAGAGAGTTTCGCCCCGGCGACGAGGCCCGTCCGTCGACGGTCAATGTTGAAATTCGACTTGAACGCGAGCGGCGGAACTAGGAGAGACCAGGCGTCGCGACGCGTGCAGCGCCCCCGGTAGCCCGACCTCGAACTAGGCCATTGATAAGGAAACCAGCGACGAAGCCGCCGGCAACTGTCCTATCGATTAATCGAAAGCCCCGCCGCGGCCGGCCTCGTTGCCGCCCGGCGGGAAATACGCAATCGCCGAAGGAACCGACCGAGCTTTCTACAACGTTCCCTTCCGGTCATTTTTTGTTGTTACGCTGACCCAGAAAATTCACCAGGAAATTTATGGGATACTTCGTAAACTGCTGGGAACACGTTGAATTTCGCGGTCGCGAGACACTTTCCTGGAGTTTAGTGGAAGCTGGTAGGAGGTTAATTGAAGACTGGGTCGCTTAGCTGTTGACCTCTTTAGTTGATTTTATGTGAGTCGCCCAAGAGGGTAAAATTGGTGTTGAAAAGAGGGCTGGTTAATTGTACGAGTTTTTTTATGTTTAACAAGTGCTGGCTTGCGTATACGAAGGATGTTTTAATTCTGACGGAGAGCACCGGGAAGTTTGATCGTTTTTTTGTATAAAATAAACAAAACCACGGTAAAAAAGGATGATTTTTAACGAAGTCATCGGCTGTACGGTCTTGCATATACAAAATCTTCACATATCTATGTTTGATGTCGTCATCGTCGATGATTCACGTCCTGCTCAAAAGAATGCGGCGCTGGTCGAAAGAAGTGATCCAAAGTCCGCGATACTATACTGGGTGAATTATTATTTTAATTGCAAAACCATTCTTTTATCTCGAATAATGGACAAAAATTGCGAACTTTGCTTTTGTTTGCATCTCTCTGCGCTGAGAGCAATTAAGACATTATTATTCTATTCTGAAATGAGTGGTGTATTGTGCACGTAGATATGTATCGTAAAAGAAAACGTCGTTTCGCTATGATACACCTGATATATTTCGGTGTAGATACTGCATTTAAATAATTGACGAGCATATAACATTAATACATGTTCAGGTCAGAGTAAATAGCGAATATCGTGAATTTATCGGACTGTCCTTGACGGTGACAGTCCACGGCATTCTTTGACATACAGTTATCAATGCAACAATGACTTGCATACAATTGTTTATTTATTTAAGCCTACTGTGCATGACAGAATAATTTTTTTAAATTTTCGTGTCCACACTTGCGACGTCCTCGTCGTTTCGAAATTTCTGTACTCTGAAAATGTATCAACCATCGTTCGAAAAGAGGAAGACAAGATCGCAGCGCTACTGTAACTAAACTCGAATCGCGTATCGGTAATATCGATATCGTCGCAAAGCTCGTCTGCGATATATGTAGGGAACTGTACCTCGCTTGCGATATCCCTATGCGATACTATAGGTTTCTTTCGTATCGACAGTCTAGGGTTATTTTTACCAACGGGTAAGGAAGTTTCCCCTGTTTCCTGACGTTAGACAATTCTATCAAATTTCGGAACCTAGTGAAAATGTGTTCGCAGAGTTCACTTCTTGAGGTTAGAAGCTGGTATTATATGATTGCTAATTTTGGAATTAATAAAAAAAGATCATCTCGTTTAGCCATCGATGATACAGATGGCGCCAATGTGTGCGTAACCACCCCTAAAGTTAACCTCGTTTGCAATATGCTACTAACAACCCCCTGATAAAGTATTTTATCGCTAAATGCACAAACTCGCTGAATTCCAGCGACTAGTAATCACTTTCATTCAATAAAATGTCATATTTCCGCGCTTTAAACGTTTAATTATTTAGATTTATGCAGTATGCGCCGGAATTGCGGGACGCATTGTAAATTAGTTTTCGTTCCCACGGTGCGCTTTCTACTTTCAACGTGAGAACTAAAAACTGTTTTAATTTACAAATATATACTTTCGATGAACTCTTCTCGAGTTCTTGAGTGAACATCTTTTAGAGTGTTTTTTTTTATTAATACTTTTTCTACAATGATCTTGATTACTTTCCAGAACAAAATGAACGTGATAAATTAGAAAAATCGTAGAGTAATCAGTAGTATAAGTGTCATTAAAAACTATTGTCTCAAATTTCTAATTTGTTTGTTGAACGAGCACTATTATTATCGAATACGCGCCAGTTACGTGAGTTACTTTCACTCTGTATTCTTTCATTCTGTTTTATAATTATTCAATACAATTTTGCGAAAGCACTCCGCGGTACAATGTCTGGCATTCGTTCCTGTGGCTTGATTTTCATAAGATATTCCTGGACCATTGTTCAGAATGATTCCCAGTCAACACATACGAGCGAAACGTAAAAAATTCCAGATTAACGAATCGCAGCGTCACGATCAACGTTACGACAGCGAGGCTCGTCTTACGGTGGAATAAGAAACGAGCACGAGGAGTTTCTCGAGGCGTGGATCGTTTCGAGGAAATCCTTACGAGCTCCTCGGGCTGGATGGAACGCTTCGAAGAAGGAGGATTCGTATTTTCGACATTTCTCCAACCCCCTTCAGCCGCGGTACCAGTTACCGGTCGCGTTTCCCACCGATACAGCGAGAATAATGATCGGGCATCGATTGGGACATTTAAATTTCACGCTCTATAGAAAACAACGAGAGGACCGACCAAATAACGATGTTAACGTTAACGACGCCAGGATTTGGGAGCCGTTTCGTCGAACGCGAAAATTAAATGATAATGATATCCTACATCGGCCCTGCACGAAATACTTGCGGCCTCAAGCCCTGGAACATTTATTTTTTTCCCTTCTTTCCACACTCTCTCCCTCCGAACTCCTAAGCACCTCTTCGTTGGTGCACTCTCCGTCTCTGTTCGCCCTTCGTTCCTTTCCTTCGTGCGTTTTTTGTTCTATAAAAATCCTCGTTAACTCGAATCACGGACCCCGCATATTATACGACCGCGGTACCGACTTTCCACTTTTCCACGGGGGCTAAATAAATCGTTAAAGGTGGCTCGGTGGTCGTGCTGCGGGCTAATGGCGCTCCGCTTATTATTCTTCCTCGTCGTTCGTCATCGAATCGCTGGCTCAATCTACCACTCGAAGGACAGAGAATCATAGGCGACATGACACACCTTAATTGAAGGGATCCCGCGAAACAGACTCTCAGAGATGGTGTCCGCCGCCTGCGAGCACGAACGGAGAACGGACAAAATGGCTGAACGCGGCTGGGTAATATTTGCGTGGCGTGGAGGATAGCGACGCTTTTCGTACGATTACTCGATGCAGGCTGAGAAACTAGACTCTGTTTTGGTCATATCTTGAAGATGGAGCAGTTGCGTGCATCCTAATTTTGTTTGAATATCATGTATCGATAAGACCATGGGGTGAATCGTCTTCAGAGCATAACGAGGACTTGATAGCACCAACAATGTACAAAAATTGTTGTAAAGTAGAGATAGGTAGAGGTAACAGTTGGATTTTTCATGCTTTTGGTTCCTCTTTATTTTATCGTGAGTGGAAAATCTTCTTACGAGGAATATATTGTTTGAGGTGCAATTTGATATGCGTCTGTTCTTATTAATGATGATTACGTTTAATTAAATTACCAAGTAGTCCTTTCGGAAGAATGATATTATTTGACGTTCTTTTTAAACGATTCAGAAAAATCTAGATCTACATCGTCGTTTAAAAGTGCACCCTTTCCTCAAACCCTCTTATATAGAAAAGCAACATAATAGGAAGATCGTTAAGATCCTCGAAATCAGGGTTCGATGCGATCTGCAAAAAAGAAGAATATACAATGAAACCAGCAGCCCGACGGAGGTAGAGAAAATCCGTTACGTAGCCATCATGGGAGAACGTAACGACCGAGAAATCACGTACATTGCCCGGAACAATAAATTCTATTGGTCGTTAGACCCTCGAATTCACGCCAGGGGATCCCCTAATCTGACCTAACGCGGTAATGTCGTTACCTTGTTAAATAAATGTCACAGCAGGAGGGTCGCTCGGGGCTGGCCAGTCGATCTACAAAAGACCAACCCCTAAAAATTGGGCCAACGTCCGTGTCGCTCAAAATGGTGGACCTACGCGCCGATTGAGACAGAAGAATGGCACACAAAAGGAGTGACGTTTCGGCCGACTGCAATCTTCCTCGGGAATGGCCGATTGCAGCCTAAACCAGGCGGCTCGTTTGTCAAAAGTCCAGAGATAATCGGGTGTTGACGAAGTGGAATCGCTCGATCCTCCTCGCGACAGCTTTCATGGTTCACATTTCATGGACCTTCGTGGAGAACGCGGCTCATCCTAAGCGAAAAAAGCTCTCGAAGCGGGTAGAATATTTCAAATTATGATAATTCGTTAATTTTGTGGATGATCGTCCAGGAAGGATATCAGAAATAGGTAGACTACTACGTCACCCTCAGTTTTCTATTCAAACTTTAAGGAAATTCATTATGAATATTTTAGAAATAGCTGAAATTAAATATTTTCGTGAAATATTAAATATTTATTTTAATGCGGAAGTAATGAGGTACTTGTTGGGTAGGCTAGGTAGATTTGTAATTGTTTTCTGGTCTGTTTTAAACATTACGCCGTTACTAACCAACTCCAAATTGGTTTCTGAAAGTTTCTCAGCATTAGTTAACTATTTAAAAATAAGATTAAACCAATGTTTATTGCACGAATTTTCTCTACTACCTATTTCGTGTAGTTAATCGAGTTAGTTCCTGGAAAGCTCGTGTGCTGTGACTGTCCCAGTTGTAATTTATTGCCCTGTCTGTTGCACACTCTCTGCAACAGTCTCGATCGAAATTGCACACCCTTCTGTCGTAGAAAACTTGTGGAAAACCGCACGTAAATGTTTGGCGGAAGGCCTAAAAGTACCGAGGAAATACGCCATTGCGACGGCAAGCATCTTCCGTGACTGTCTCATCGCGAAAGGTATGTATTTCGTCGTTCCATATCGACGTTCGATCTCTCCATCAAATTTAACTGATTTTTATATTAAATGCACAAAAACTAATTGTCTGGACCAAGCAAAATCCTATCGAAGCACGAATACCATTCCTCGGACTTCTGATCAAAGTTTTATCAACAATTAGCATGAGTTGAATATTAAATTTAAA